TGTACTTCTTCAGCTAATGGTAAACTGCTGATGGACACATGCCATCCAGTTCAAAAGGACCCACTCCAGGAAAGTTTTCTCGCTATAATTCGGTTTGAATATATTCTTTTGGTGATAATAATGTCATTTAATAATGAATTTATACCCCCCAACTCAAGAATTGTACTTCTTCAGCTAATGGTAAACTGCTGATGGACACATGCCATCCAGTTCAAAAGGACCCACTCCAGGAAAGTTTTCTCGTTATAATTCGGTTTGAATATATTCTTTTGGTGATAATAATGTCATTTAATAATGAATTTATACCCCCCAACTCAAGAATTGTACTTCTTCAGCTAATGGTAAACTGCTGATGGACACATGCCATCCAGTTCAAAAGAACCCACTCCAGGAAAGTTTTCTCGTTATAATTCGGTTTTAATATATTCTTTTGGTGATAATAATGTTATTTAATAATGAATTTATACCCCCCAACTCAAGAATTGTACTTCTTCAGCTAATGGTAAACTGCTGATGGACACATGCCATCCAGTTCAAAAGGACCCAGTCCAGGAAAGTTTTCTCGTTATAATTCGGTTTTAATATATTCTTTTGATAATAATAATGTTATTTAATAATGAATTTATACCCCACAACCAAAAAATCATACTTCTTCAGCTAATGGTAAACTGCTGATGGACACATTCCATCCAGTTCGAAAGGACCCAGTCCAGGAAAGTTTTCTCGTTATAATTCGGTTTTAATATATTCTTTTGATAATAATAATGTTATTTAATAATGAATTTATACCCCACAACCGAAGAATCATACCTCTTCAGCTTCAACATTATAAAAAACCACAAAACTAAAGCGTCAAAACGAATGAAAATGTCAGGAAATTAATAAATAACTGTGGCAACAGTTTTTATAGCAGGCTACCACTTGAATCCCCACCGGGAAATTTTACTTTTAGTTGTATGATGTTTTAGGAAAATTTGCTCACAAAATTATTGCACAGTGTGTTTTACACAGAGTTTTAAAGATAGTGTAAAATACAACTCTTCGATTAACCCTGTATAATAACTCAAATACTAAAGGTTATAATAAACTGAGTTTACAAATGAATATATATATATATATATATATATATATATATATATATATATATATATATATATATATATATATATATATATATATGTATATACAGTTTGCTAAAAAAATCGAGGAAATAGGACTAAAAATAAAAAAAATATTACACTTGAAACTTAACGAAAAATTTTTCCGTTGCGTTTTTTTTGCATCTGAGTGGACATTTGAAAATTTGAGCTAGTTTTTTACAGAATACGAACATTACTTGAAAAGAACTTGCACCTAAATTGTGTTAAACGCCACAATAGTCTGTTAATACAACCTTATACCTCATTCCTTAACCCTGTCCGACAAATTACTTATTCATAGAGACCCAGTCAAGTAGACGTTTGATCTGCGTGAAATGCTTTAGTTTCACCATTTCTACCACCCTAAAATTTTACGTTTCTTCAACACGGTCTTTATTATTACCCTGCATAAGGACGATTTTGGACCGCTTTGCAGGCACAATGGAATAAGCTCGGGCACCCCACTGATTGCCAATGGCAATTATTTGCTCCCTTTGAATAATTAAATTTCACTAGAGCTCCGTTTTCTGGCCATCTGTCCAAATTTTTATATCGTACCTCGTAGAGTTCTAAAATTTCGAAAAAAATCTGATTTGTCAATATTGGTTTGGACAAATTAAAGACAAGTATGTGTTAACAGTGGTTGGGACGGTTATTTGATATTTTTGTTTGTCTTAGGACTTGTTATAAGGGTCGAAAATAAAAATTCTGATGGTTTAACATATGGGGTGGTTCGGTACTTTCTAAATAAATATGTTAATTGATATATCTAAGAGGTAATAGATACAGGTGATTTAGTATATAGAATATAGCGTGTACCAGCGACTTTTCGCGTCGAATTAATCATTTTTAATGGTAATGATAAAGCAAAGCAAGAATTTCCGTTAACATATAAACTGGATAAAATTTTCTCACATTTATGTCAGCATGAGAAAAAACAATATGGCGATATTATTATATAACTTCGTAATATTTGAGGGGTAGTTTCATCTCGTTGGAATTTGACTTTCGAAAAAACCGTTTGCCAAAAATAAGCTTTTTACGTCAAGCAGTTTAAGCAGAATCGTGGTTAAGAAATTACCCAACTTTTTGGAACACCCTGTGTGATTTTTTAAAAAATTTCAAAATGTGTTAAAAAACCAAATAAATTATGCTTGTCCAAGCGTTTTCCCGAAAGACTAACCGTTTTTTAAATAACAAATATTGTAATATTTGGGGGGCGTTTTCACCCTCTTGGAATTTGAGATTCGAGAAACCCCTCCTTATCGAACCTCTACACCCCACAGTCAATCCGTTTGCCAAAAATCAGCTTTAAACGTCAAGCAGTAGAATCGTGATTACTCAATGATCATATTTTATAAAACACCCTGTATAAATTTTTAAAAAATCTTAAAATATGTACAACAACAAAATAAAATATACGGTTTCTAAATAAAAAATGTTTTAATATTTGAGGGATAGTTTCACCCCCTTAGAATGCGAGTTTCGAAAAATCTCTTCATATCGAACCTCTACACCCTAAAGTCAATCTGTTTTCCAAAAATCAGCTTTTTACGTCAAGCGCTTTAAGCAGGATCGTGATTAATCAATGACCAGATTTTTCGAAACACCCTGTATATATTTTTAAAAAATCTAAAAATATGTAAAAAACAAAATAAAATATACTTGTTTAAGCGTTTTTTCGGAAACTTGACCGTTTTTTAAATAAAAAATATTGTAATATGTGAGGGGTGGTTTCACCCTCTTGGAACTGGAATTTCGAAAAATCCCTTCTTATCGAACTTCTACACCCTAGAATCAACCTGTATGCCAAAATTGAGCTTCTTACGTTGAGTGGTTTGAGCAGGATCGTGATTAATCAGTATGTCAGTCACTTAAGGATTTTATACAGGTTGTTAATTTGTTTATTACTCGCGGCAAGAGCTTTATGGTCGAAATATGGCAACCTCGGCCCGCTCGTCGATAGAGGACGCGCGACGCGACGGGACGAGTCGGCAGAAAACCCTATAAGTGCATGCGTTCTCAATAGGCAGTGTTGCCATTCTGTTCCCCTATAAGTAACTGTCCAATTAACAATCTGTATATTAGTATAGATTTATTTTTGTTTCCTAAAATATTTTGATTAAAAGAAAATATGTAAAAGTGGGCAACACTGTGCCGGTCAAGCTTAATCACGTGACACGTGACGAAAAGTTTATTTGGTGTAAAAAAAAAGGAAAAATTATACTGAGCTTTTTCGGAATACTTGGCCACCCTGTATATAACCAATTAATAATACTGCCATTTGATCAAGCGATTAGGATACACAGTGGGCACATTAACTAATACAGCATACCCAAATCCGTTATAATCTTTACTGAAGGGGAGTCAAAATACAATGGCTACATACAAAAGCGTGCGGAATGTCCAAAATTTTAGGCTTTTTCTGATAGATTTTCTGGCACACGTACAAATAAATCGTCGAATAATAAAATTCTTTGTCAGAAAGATTACCATATAAAATTAGTAATTTTATGCGGTAAGCTCACGCCATTTAGCCGAATTGGTTTGGATTGCTTTGGAGATAAATAGGTGGTATAAAGCACCCCGTACACTACGGTTATTTTGGACGGTTTGAACCGAACTAGTAGGAGTTCAGTTAATAACGTCATCAGTGTATGTAAATTCTGAACTGTCCAAATATACCGGCTCTCCTGTTAATTTTACAGCAAAGTAGTAAATAGGTTTTTTAAATGTTGGCGAATGCTGAATATACAGGGTGGAGTCTCTCATACGACGCTATGACAGTTTATATCGAAATTGATTATTATATTGAAATGAAAGCATTTTATAAAAATATGTAGAATTATAGAGGGTGTCTCCAAAAAAGTTACACATCAAAGTTGTGATTTTTCTAATGATTTTCGGATTCTAGGAAAAAAATTAAGGTGAGTTTTATTAAAGATGCATATCCCTAAAATCTAAGGATTTTGACATATTTCCCATTTTGTGAAAACGAATAGTAAATTTTAAATTTCGATAACAGCTACCAAAATTTTAGTTGGCCTAGTATAGCTTGATATTATTTAATTACAGTGACCATTGTATGTTAAACCAAATTGAAATTTGACCCGAAACGTTATACAGGGTGAGACAAAATTAATATAGAACATTAGTCACTTTCAAAGCAAGTTACTACTTTATTTTAAATAGAACACCCACTATATTATTCCTGTGTTCAATGGGGAATTTATATTTCTTCAAAATATTATTAAGGTTGCCTACCCCTCAGACAACGATTTTCCTACATATTTTAATTTTTATGATTTTGCGTCAGTAGATCTTTATAATTTGAAAAAATCTAGGGTGGCTGTGATATACCTTTTGTTAATTTAACGAAAATTAAAGATTGTAGAGTGAAATACCCAAGAGTAATAAAAAGACACGTTTAAAACATCTTTAATTATTACAGAATTAAAACGAGATATTACAACTATGATAGATATGATGATGATTAACACTATGATAGATAGTTTATTACTAATTTTGATAACTGCACCGTTAAAACCGAAACAAATAAAAAAAATGTATGAGGACCTTTAATCTTTTTCTTAATCAGTACATTCTAATTAAAAAAAATATTTTTTTTTCTAAAATATTTTATTAAAAAGAAAAACAATTATACTCATTTCTCTTAAAAATTATGTTCATACTTTTCAGCCACCCTTTCTGATAGTCCAGCTCCTCCCAACTAAATGCCCAGCCGTCAGCCAATGACAGGTCGGCTTTTGTGCCCTAAAAAGGGCCTAAACGCTGGTGGGGGCACGGTATAAATCACCCGGCACCCTATTTGTCGGTTCGAGTCGCATTGGCAAACTGAAATCAGTGCGTCAAAGTGTCGTAGGGACAGTCGGGCAGATTTGCCGAGACGTTTGTGATAGTTCGGTGATTTTTTTGGTGTTTTTACTTGAGTGAAAATTATATCAAAGTGCATTGAATTCGGTGATTTGAGCAATTTTTTGATGGATTAGTATTAGTCTGTATTTTTTGAGAAAACAGGTAAGTGGGTAAAATTATTTTTTCGATTAAGATTTTGTACTGTACTTTGAGTCATATTGACATCAAAATCAAATTTCTCATGTCAAAAACCTTCCGGACACCAATTTTCATCCAAATATTGACGTAACTTCAGAAATTATTTGGAAAAAATCGAAATAAAAATAAAATCTCTACACCCTGTATCTCGAAACTAAGCATTTTAGGAGATACATTTATACAAACTGTTTTACTTATTTTTATCTGCCGAAGTTTCGGGAATACAGTTCGGACCACCCTGTATTTTTAGAAAGCTCATAACAAGGAAAATAAAATAAAAATATATTATACAGGGTATCCCAATTAATTTTTTTTTAAATTCTAATTCCTCATCAAAAAATATGAACTTTTTTTTATAAACATGGGTCTGTATATGTATATTATACAGTATGTCCCCTGATTTATTATTGAGATTTTGAGAAAAATCCATTCTTCATAAAAAAAAATTTATTTTAAAATACCTAATTACGTTATCCTAATTTCCATACCGTTTTAGAGAAAATTAAAAAAAAATATGGTTGAATTTCCTAAAAATCAAAAGACGTTTTTATGGTAGTATAATTTCGGTTTCATTCTTTGATAGATGTTTGTTATTAATTTAACTATATTTTCATGTTTTTTTTTTAAATTTCCTCTAAAACGGTATGGAAACCTCGAAAAGTATACACGGGACTAACCATTTTAGAACAAGCAAAATTTTTATGAAGAATGCACCTATTGTTCTAAAAATGTTAATAACAAAAAAGTTTTTCCTCTTGTAAAGACAATCCCTGAACATACTGTATAATATACATATCTGGACGAATATTTAAAAGAACTTCTTTCATAATCTTTAATGAGGAATCAGCCCCTTAAATTTGGCCATGCATTTTTCGAACATCCTGTGTAAGAAAAAATTGAGGTATCTATTTAAATGATTCTAACTTTATCTAAAAAACTCATTGTAGATATTATAGTAGACTACAAACATCTAAACCATGTCCATAAAAACAACTAACATTTTTTTAATTTCTTACAGGATGTCCCACTATGACACCTTCAAATCCTACGAGTCCACCTACGACGACAGCTGTGACTCCGGCCTGGAATTCTCCTACAAGTCCGAAACCACAGACCTCACAGATGACCGCAGTGACCCCTACGACTTAGATCATGACTTCCACACACCCGAAAAGAGCCTCAAAACCCCAAATATCAACACCACACTGTACAACAAATTCAATTCGGCCTTTTACAACAGCATAAAGGATTTTGATAGAAGACCAATTCAACAGGAAGCATGGCATTCGACTCCGAATTGCCGAAGAAACCTATTGAACGACTTTAATGAAGAATTTGAAGACTTTGAAGAAGACAAAAACAAACTTTCTAATACAGAAAACAAAGATAAACCAAAAAAACGTTATGCAACTGGTCGAAACAGAGTTTCCAGAGCAAAAAGCCCAACACAAATCATGAGAATAAAGAGAGTAAGAAGACTGAAAGCCAACGACAGAGAAAGAAACAGGATGCACATGCTGAACGAAGCTCTGGACAGGTTACGATGTGCCTTACCAACATTTCCTGAAGACACCAAGTTAACCAAAATAGAAACACTAAGGTTCGCTCACAACTACATCTATGCACTTTCTGAAGCTACTAAAGATGTTGACAAGTACACCAACGAAGATAGTGTTATTCTTAACGTAGGGAACGTTATAGTGTCGATTAACAAAGATGGAAACACTATAAAAACTAGAGGGTTTGAAGAAATTAAATCAGGTGCTTCTGTGATCAGTGGAAGTATAACGAATGCAAGTTTTATGCAGGATTATAATACTGACAACAGTAGTAGTCCGTATTCTAGTCCAAATGAAGGATATCAGCAAGTTTTTTGTGCGACAAATGTGCCTTTTGGATCAGGGTATTCTGCTAGTACGCCTTATGATCACTACATTCCTAATAGTGTAGCTCATTATCCTAGTCAGCAATATCCTAGTCATATAAATGGATTTAATAATAATGTGGCTTATGAGTATAATTCTTTTATGAAGGTTTAGCAATATATTTTATGATTTTAATGGGATTTGATATATACAGGGTGTTCTGAGGTGAAATTGATATGAAGAATTGCAAAGGAATGCTTTAATACAGAGCGAGTTTAAAATAAGTGCAAATATTTTCAGGGTTGGTAGATCTAGATGAGAGAACACATATTTTCTCGTTACCGTTTTTGAAATAAGTCTAAAATTACTCAGTTATTTTACTTTGACAATTTAAAAAATATATTTTTTGCTTAAATTTTGAGAACCACTGGATTTTTGTTCTTCCATGTTGCCATATTATCAAGATATTGGGTTTTTACCAAAAAATAAACTATTTTTTTGCGAGAAGTACCTCATAGACGTGTTTCTGGAGTCGAAATATACAACACCTAAAAACATTTGCACTTATTTAAGGCTCACACTGTATAAAATTTAAATAAAAAAATATGGTGATATGGTTTATCTTGGGGCGTAGTAACATACAGGGTGATCTAGTGTAACTCATATTTTATAAATAATTTCATCGTAGGTATGCAGATATATAAAATTCAAACTTCAAAAATGTCATAATCTATATCGAGATGTTACTGAAATATGACCATTTTCGACAAATTTAAAGCTCCCACAAAATTGTAAAATCGCAGTTTTTTATGCTTTTAATTGTCGGTTTTTATTATAGTGTGTATTCTTTTAAACTATATAGTCATACTAAAATAGGCTAAATTGTTTCGTATATACAGTGCGAAATCAAAACAGACACAGTGTTTTTTCCTTATTTCAAAGGAACTGGAATGTTTTTGAATCACCCTGTATATCTGTTAAAATATTTTGTGCTCTTATATTATGTTTTGGAACTTTTTGGGAACACTGGATCACCTTGTAGATATTAGGTATTTTTAATAGAAAAATTTTTTAATAGAAATTTTTAAAGCAAGCTGAACTAGGAACACCCTGTATACATAAATAACAAAGATTGTTTTGTTGCTTAGTCAAAAATTATCAAAATTACTTAAAAATGAATTTATTGTGAACATATTTTAAGTTTCTCAAGCACTGTAAAGAAATTTGTAATTTTATGTAAATCTTTTTTTACTTTTTAGTTGATCTCATGTGTTTTTTTATAGCAAATTAAATTGTGCTAATACCAAATATGAAAAATTATATTTTTATATCTATTTAATAAATCTCTAGTCAAGTAATCTAGTCAATCTAAAGAAATGATTCTTATAGCACAGAAACAAAATGTGATTTTATATTATATTTCTACAAAAAATATGTATATTTAAAAAATGTAAGAGTTATATCGATTTAACAAATATGGATATGTATATGAATATTTTTATTCAAAAAAAGTATGAAAAAGGTTTTATATACATTTTCCGTTTATAAATATTTGTATACTTGGTAGGGGTATATATTTTGATATAACTTTAAATATGAAATTTTATATATGTAAATTTTTATAAATAAAGATTTTAAGTAAAATAAAATATCTATTGTGTGTTTTTACCCATTAGTATAGTTATTATTAAATGGCTTCATCTTATATTCTTTAGAAAATAGTCAATGCCAGACCAAGACTAAGATTCTTTTGGTCTTAGTCTTCAAAATGAAACACTAATTCACCACAATACATTAAAACACTTTATTTTTACACTGAACGCGCGTTTCGCTAACAATGTTAGCATTATCAGCAGGTAACATGGTTAGCGAGATGCGAGTCCAGTGCAAGAATAAAGTTTGTAGCTGTTGTGCCATCAAAGGTTCCAACCCTCAACTGTAGTCTTGGTCTTGCTGTAAGACTCTTGCAAGTCTTACAGTTATTAAAATTTTTAAATTTCGAAAAAATGTTAGTGTTTTTTTCAAAAGCAAATATGTCCAACAAAAATAAAGCTATTGAGATGAACCAAAAACCAAACTATCAAGAAAAGATGCATCTATATGATAAAATAATGTTTAAATTCCTTGCTTGCTTAACATATTCCACAGCGTGTTTCAAACTTTCACCAAAATATCAACCTTTCGATTTTCTTCGTATAATTAACAGTGGGAGACTTTCATTTTAAATTTAGAATAAAACACTAAAAAGTCAAATATTTTAACTATAAATTTCTTAAAAATTCATCAAAATCAGTCCACAGAAACAAAATATATTAAACTTTAAACTACATCAAAATTTTTAGATGCCCGCTTTGAAGTCAAAAAATTATATTTTCATATAGAGCATTTACATGACGATTAACAGCCCCTAAAATGTTTAAAGGGCCCCGCATGGGTCCAAATGCGACCTTTTTATAGCGGTCTTTTGTAGTTAGGGCTTTAGCCACCTGCCCTGTGCCTAAACGCTCCGCTACAATTCTATCTGATGCTGCAGAACAAAATCTAATCTTCCTAATCTCGCAAACGTCGGTGAACTGGTCTGTGAAATCATCCATTCGTAATCTGTACCAGAGATAAAAACTATATGTATTTAATTCTAACAGTTTTTAAAGCAGGATTATGTATACAGGGTCGTTGACAAAACTTATTCACTAAAAGCTAGTTTAGTGAATAAGTATAGTTTACTAGTTTAGATATAGTCTTTCCAACGAGAAGATCCTTGACAGATGTGTCTGTCATTTTAATTTGATTAATTATTTGATTAATTAACTTTAATCTTAATTTTTTTAAACCAGTACCTTTTGACATTATTTTCCTGCATTACTAAAATCCATTATTTACCTATCGTGTGATGTCGTTATTTTGTATGGTATACAAACTTTATTGATGGTAACTTTATTGGCACAAGACTTTCTACCTGGGAACCGAGTATTAACTATAAACTGTGCTCTGGGTCTACGGTTAATTTTCCCTTGATTTTTCCTCCACTTAACTTCAAAAGACACAAAGCACACGTAAAAACACGAATAAACGAATAAACGAACGTAAAAAATGTGTTAAATACGTGTTAAATACAACAAATGTAACAATCTGGAAATTTATTACATTTACTTATATTTGATGAGCACCCACGAGGTTTTATAAAACCCGGCGCCCCTGGGTTCGCACACGTAAAACGCATGAACGAAAACAGGCTACCATGCATAGCTCTTGAAGGAAAACCAATGGGTAAGAAGACCTCCAAAAAGACGGAAAGACAGTTGGCAGTCCATCTCCCAAGAACTCCTACAGAGGCAACCTTAAAATTAACAGATCGACTAGAGAATTTTAGATCGACTAAGAGAATTTTTAAGATTTACATGGGATTTTTTGAGAAATGAAACTCACGGTATATCTAAAAGCGACAAAAAAATAAAATTGATACGGAACATTATTATGTGATAAGAAAACATACAAGTATGCACGGTTGCTATCCACAAAAACCACCTATAATAATTGAAAAAAGAACTCCAGCTAGGACAAGGCAAAAATCAAAATAATTACAAAATATATCTACTGTTTATTTAGGTGTCCTACACACCTATAATCAAAATTAATATATACAAACTTCTTTTTTTGTGATTTTTTCCAATTTCACTTTCCAGGGGGTACGCTACCTCTGTTTGCCATCGACTATATTAAACGGAAGCCCACCTAATAAAGCACGGCTTGGCTCGGCTTATATTTTATTTTGTTAGAAACAATTGTTTACAAATCACTCGTGAAGTCTGTTGGTTCGGTGATAAGACCAAATTATCACTGTCACCCGAGTTAATTAAGTTTTTTCTTAATATATTTTCGCGCTTTATTGGCCCAGATAGGTTGAACGGGAGCTAGAATCAACAGAATGTGATTTGGTGTACGATGGATAAACAATATTATCAGAAAAAAGGTAATTTTAATAAAAAAATCGGTCAGATTCACGAAAAAATGCATTTTCTTTGGAGAAAATGGCTTAGAAATTAGTCAAAGTATTCCGGGGAGAGATAAATATACCTGTTGAGTGTGAAAATGAGATAAAAAAAACCCGAACAGCTTGATTTCGTGCGTATACAGGGTTTTTTACATAAATTTTTTACATAATTTAATTGCTTTCATTTTTGAAAATTTTTGTATTCCTTTTCATAAGTTATTCGGGATTTAAATGAAAGTAGTTTGGATATGGCGTTTGTCGCCTCAGCCTGAATATCTGTGGGTAATTTACTTATTTCGTTTTGAGCCATTTCTGGCCCCAATTCAATCAGCAATCGACACGAAAGAGAATTAAAAAATATTGACTCAAAACTGACAACTAAAGAGACAGCTTTATTTATTTGTCAAATTACGTAAAAACCATATAATATTTCTTCTACTCGTAATAAATTCCTTGAAATAATAATTTCTGAATATTTTTTAAAAAAGAAACTCGCTATGGAAAAAATATTGTTTTATACACGACGATAAAATTGCATTATCCTCTCCCGAAATTAATGAATAAATACCATTTTGTATAAAAAAATAACTATACATTACCCTAAACTATACATTACTATTTTCCGCATATTTTATAAGATTTGAATAAAAATTTTAAATGAAAAACCAGATACGTTGCTTTTTCGGAACACTGTGTACCCCTTTATAACGACCTTTATTATAGAAAATTCCACCTATAATTTTATTTATAGGCGTAGATAAATGTTATACCTTTTTATCCCTTTGCCATAATTTATTTTAACCAGCAGCATGTACTTTTTTTCCTTTTTCTATGCCACCAAACTTACCGTAGTACTTCCCATAAATATCATTCGACATATTAGAGTCAAAGGGTTGGCTTTTTCAATAGAAATATTTGAAGGGGATTGGTTACGATCGAAAATTTAATGTTTCGAAAAAAATCGGAACACAAAATTTATTTATTCTATTTTTCACAGTAGTTATCTTTCCAGGACAGATGTGTTAGCAGTACGCTATATTAAAGTCAGAGTTATTATGTTTTAAAGATTTTGTTTAAAAATAGTTATTTTTTATACAAGACGATAAAATGGTATTTTATCGTCGACCAAAAAGATTAATTCAGGAGTTAAATTAAAAAGATTAATTCAGGAGTTATTAATTCAGGAGAGAAAAAAGTTTAAAAACATATTTTAACCCCCTAAAGCCATCTAGCGGACATCCACCACACCAAACAACCCTCATAAATCCATTTCTGTATTTCTACCCTTATATAATCGATTTTATCCGTGTCATTATACTATTTCAACCCCTATGGGGTGCGCAGATCCAATATCACAGTGTAATTTTATTACACTTGCCTTAAAAAAAGGGTTATTGTGTCCTTATTTTGGACACCGACTGCAAATTTTCAAGAAAAAACGGAAAAATTTGCGTATTAAATAAAAGAGATGCCTTCAGAGCCGGATTCAGGGCTTCAGCCCAACGAAGAAAGGCCAAGAATTTTGTTTGTAAGTCCTGGAAATAATTTGTCTTGGCCTGATAAGGACAGAAACATCAGTTATCATATTCCTTCAGGTAAGTTTTGTGTATTTTTTGTTTAAATTATAGAATACCGAAGTGAAACATGTTACAAATTGACAAAAATAAATTAAATTAAACAAATTTAAACTGCACAAACGCTATTGTTTTCAGATTGTAGTATACCGAGTGCGTCTCAAAAGTGGCTCACCCTTATAACTTTTTTATTTCTTCAGATGAAAAAACGAGATTTGGTATGTTAGTATATGACATAAGTTAGGATTGATTGACGTATTCAATTGTTTTCGATCACTTCCTGTTTCACCGGAAATGACTACAACTTTTGATTTTTAAATGGCACCCTCGGTATTTTTTTACTTTATTCGATAGAAAATGTCACTTTGAATAGAATGATATATCATATATCAACTTTTGGCATTTTCGTATATGGTTTATTTGAAATTGTAACATGCAGTTCATAACGACAATTTGACTCGAAATATTAAGTATGTGGTACTAAATTATTCGTAAAAAATGCTTTTCCTAAAAATGCTAATGAGCCACCATCGTTCCATTTGAAAAAATTGAGATATGATTAAAAATACGATTTGAATGACAAGACACTAAAAATTAGTGTTTTTAACACAATCATGGCACTCTGATTGAAATTTAAAATACGATTTTTTTAACGGGATTGCGAAAAGTTGACATATGAGATGTCATTCTCTTCAGAATGTCATTTTCTATCAAATAAAGTAAAAAAATACCGAGGGTGCCATTTAATAATCAAAACTTGTAGTCATTTCCGGTGAAACAGGAAGAGATCGAAAACAATTGAATACCTCAATAAATCCTAATTTATGTCATATACTAGCATACCAAATCTCGTTTTTTTATTTAAAAAAATAAAAAAGTTATAAAGGTGAGCCACTTTTGAGACCCCGGTAGATCATAGAAATAATTTATTTATTTTAAATTATTTTTTTTGAGCTCTCTGTATAAATATGTAGTGTATTTTTGTCAGTTTATATACTATGTGTCCTATTTTTAGTGAATATTTAGATATACCTGTGGTTTATTTAAAATGTCTAGGTGCGATTTAAAATATGCATTTTGACAATATTGCTAGAGTGTGTTGTAATTTTTAAGCAATGTCAAATAAGCTAAGAAAGTATCTTAAAATTTAAAAATAGAATCAATTGAATGACTTTACTACAGACACACTAATTTTACACTAAATATGGCCATGTCACATATACAGAGTGATCTATTATATTACAAAAATATCTTTTTTTGTTTAAATTACTGCAATAAGTCTGTTTAAGCTTATTGTCTAGGTTTAAAAAAGGCTAGTTTGTAAAACTTGGAAAATAAGTTCGTTATAATAATGCTTTTATTTATTCACTGTTCTAATAAAGAATATGCATTCCTTCGGAAACTCTCTATTTATTTATCTAGTAATGCTAAAACACTCTATTTGAAAGTCGATTAGAGAAAATAGTATGATTCATTGGCAAGCGATGTAAATATTTGTGATCAGGTAAAATTGTGATGTAAGTAGTTTGCCGGCGGCGGGTCAGTAGTAGACGGGCCGGCCGGCTGTTGTGTTGTGTTTTGTCGCAGAGCTGACATTTGGGGGTTGCGAGTCTTTTGACTATAAAAGTTGCATGTCGTTTGACTGTAAGGCAACGGGTCTTTGGACCATTCCTCCCTGGTTGCAAGTCGACTGTAAGGCAACGGGTCTTTTGACTACTGAGAAGAAAACCTCTTGTGACGTCTTGTCTTCGAGGTTGGTCTTGAGAGTTTGAGGTCTCCCTTGTCTTCTCGATTGACACGATGCGGCGTTGGGGTAGTGAGGTACCCCAATTAGCCTATTCGATTGGGATGCCAATCTGTTTAGCGGCAGGTTTGCGTCCGGGGGAAGCCCCTATACTATTTCAGGTGACACTAGCTAGTTGTTGAAGATTATTAACCAATAAATCCGAATAATATTTGAATTAGACCGAAGATATAGAATGGGATATATTGAATAGAATGTCAGTGACGTCAGTGGCTAGGGGGCGGAGTACTCCCGAGTGAGTTTTACTATTTAACTTACAATTTTATCCAGATCAGTAAATGTTTGTTTTGTTATTTTCATATACAATGAGAGAGTGCTTGCCAATGACCACCTAAATGGATATTTGAGGTGAATTTGCATTGTGAGACCCGGTTCAGTAAGCCCAAGAGATAAGCGATTTTACAAGTTTTATACTACAAGCTTGACTAACAGTCTTTCAAACCATATTGTACTATTTAGCTTATTTTACATTGTCTTATATGTGTTTATTTACCCTGCAACCTATTTTTTCCTAAAAAAAATCGATGTTTTTGTGCAGTCTGTGACGATTTTTATTACGCCAGCGACGGGCGTAAGTTTACTGAAGAGATCAGAAAACTTTTTGATGTCTTTTTTGCAAATTCCACCAGTGGAGGTATAGAAAAAAAGCTCTTTCATGCTTAATTATCATTCGAAAGACATCAAGAACTAGTTAAAAACAATAGAATACCGTTTATTTACATCTGATAAACATTTAGAACGATTATTGGTTTAGTAGTATGCTGTAATATTATGCTGCTTTACTGAAATAAGTATGTTCATTTTTTAATCTTGCAAAATATTTTAGAAAAATGTTTTTGGAAAGTTTAAAAGGGCTAGCTTGGATAGGCTTCTTTATTTAGTTGATACTTCCAATTTTTAGTTGATACATAGTTAATAGATAGATATGTGCTCAAAATATAAACAAAAATACAAGAATGTCCAAAATATTAAAATTTATTTTGAGTACGTAATTTATTCAGTAGTAAATCATTAATTCAATTTGAGTAAATTTGGTTCTGTTCCATTCTAACACATTATACTTATCTAGTTTTGCTTCTATAAGGTACGTGGTGGCCTTGGTGCGACTACTGGAAAGATCCTCAACACATTTTGTACCAACTGGCAAATGTCTGCTTTGTTCTGGCTTACTCGTCAACATGCTCCAAAAAAGGAGTACTCTTCATGCATTGCTGGCTGATATTTGGTAAGTATACAATAAAACTGATAAAAATTTTTTTAACCAGATGTATTTTAATGTTATTGTGGCTGATTTCTGTAATTTTAAATACAATTTAAGGACTAATGTTATTCTCAACATGGGCCTGGAACATTATATGTGCCCCAGATGTTTTTACATGGAACTTTGCCTTTATGCTGATGAATATGGCTCAAGTTTTCCATATTTTGTACCAACTAAGGCCTGTGAAGTTTGACCCAGAGCTAGAAGAAGTGTACCATACTCTTTTTGAACCGTTTAAAGTAAAATTTTTATTTTTTTTTGTATTAGATGTCAAAGTAAAAAGTTTTTATCATATTCTAGTTATCAAGACTTCAATTTAAACGGATGGTAAGTCCGGATTTTGCCCAAATCATGTCTCTCCATGCTGGAGAAGCTTACGCAGTCCAAAATTTGACCAGGACAGACAGATTGGGTCTTTTACTATCAGGAAAAGTAAAAAAAAAAACGTTGAAATTAAATTGTTACTGACCAAATAATACTAAAATTTCTATTTTAGGTTAATGTATTATCAGATAATCAATTCCTGCATCCAATATTACCGTGTGAGTTTATGGATTCACCTGAATTTGAATCTAGCAGAAATACAGTGGATGATAAATTCAAGGTATGTGTGTATTTAAGTGTTATGACTCTTATCCCTTTTAATATTATCAATAATCAATGTGTCATTGTCAATATTTGTTCCAGGTGTCAATTGTAGCTGCCAGTTCTTGCAGATACCTCTACTGGCAAAGATCTTCCTTGGAATACCTTTTCGTTAAAGACACTTACATAGCAACTGTCCTAACAACACTAATTGCAAGAGATATAACAACAAAACTTTATGCGATGAACAATAAAATTGTTACAGCTAAAGGATCACATCTGGATATAAGACTGCCCAGCATAACATCGTCACTGACCTCCGGAGGTGAATACAAAAGTCCAATAAGGACTAAAAAAGCAAACGGAGGTATGACTATTGTCATTTTTATAGTTTTATAACTCTCTGATCAAAACTGATGATGTTTTAGGTATGTGTAACGCATCCATAGAAGCGTTTTGTAACGAGAATACCACTCCGAAACCAAAAATCTATGATAAATTTAAAGAAAATGGTAACGTTTCCCAGAATTGTTATGTCAGTGAGATGGAGCCACTGACAGAGCTTCCGTCATCCGATGATCTAACTTCCAATGACGTGGAAAGCTGGTTGGAAACTAGCTCTAAGTATCATAGTTGTGAAATTGTAGATATGGATTAAGAATGGATCGTATTTATATTTTATATAAAATTATATGTGATAGCAATCCGTATTCCTGTAGTTTTATTTATAATTTTTATTTATCCTTAAAATTCTTATAAATTCAGTTGAAAAGTAAAACTAAAACATTAGTGCACCACAATACATCAAAATACATTATTTTTAATACTATGTTAGTATCATCAGCAGATGATAACAGTAAAGTATTATACAGGGTGAGTGCAAATACTTTTAGGGGAAGTATATTTCGACACCAGAAGCACGTCTGCGAGGTTTTTTCGCGAAAAATAAATTTGAAAATTTGGATTTTTTTACTTTTTAGTTAAAAATATAATTTCTTGATAATATGGAAACATAGGTAGTAGATTAAATTTACAAGAAAGAAAACCCAGAAGAGATCCAGTGGTTTCTCAAAATTTAAGCAAAAAATCATTTTTTATCAAATTTTTAAAGATTGATTTGAAAAATATGTTTCTTTTATCGAGATCTACCAATCCTGAAAAAATTTGCACTTATTTAAGACTCACCCTGTATAAGCAGATTGAAATATAAATTAGTATGTATATATAAACGAAAATGTCAAAAAAGTTAACACATTATATCTTATTCTATTCAGAATGTGATTTTCTATCAAATAAAGTAAAACAATGCCGAGGGTACAATTGAAAAATCAAAAGTTGTAGTCATTTCCGGTGAAACAGGAAGTCACCAAAACTAACTGAATACGTCAATGAATCCTGATTTATGTCATATACTAACATACCAAATCTCATTTTTTTACCTAAAAAAAAAAAAAATAAAAACTTATAAGGGTGAACCACTTTTGAGAAACACCCGGTATAGACATGACTCGTCTTTACTGCATAAGTTTAAAATTATCAGTTTAAAATAGACAGTTATTACTCTAAAACACGACAATGTTCCATAACATATGAGTCTTATATTACTTTTAACTAGTTTATGCATCCTTGCATGCATATGCAAAGTTATATTAACTTCTGTAATATTCTGGAAACTAGTTCTTGAAAAGATTATTGTAAATTTATCGTGTGATCGAGAAAATAAAAAAAATATGACCTATCGATTTCTGGGACTAAGAATATTGCAAAATATATGCCCCACTAGGCTTTATACGACTTGATATAAAACTTTTATTAGTCTATCTTATCCTCTGATGGAACGGGAATTACATTTTGAATTTTATGTCCCCGCATTAGAGACTTTTTTTATATTTTTGTTTTTATTAGTCTGAAAGACAGCGTGAAATATCGATTATGTCTTGAATTAGTAGAATTATTATAGTAAAGTTTTCAGACAAATAAAATAAATATTCAGAAACCTTACCTTAGAAAACAAAGGTACCCAAAATACAGAAACAGGAATTAAACAGAAACATGGTTGCCATTTATTTATTAAAAAAGTTTTTTAACAAAGTCTGTATATGATTATTATATTATGCTTATAGTATTCTATTAATTTATAGACATTTTTTGATTTGGTTTGGCTATTCATAATAATATAATTCAGAATTAACAAATCATAGACGTCAATTTTTAGTTTTCAAAATTCAATTTGACAACACTGCAGTTGATTATCTAGAAGTTCTTTGCTTGATATTTCTGCTTCGTTTACATTTTTAAGTTTCACATTACGTTTATTTTTAAAAAATAGATTTGATCGTCTATTGTTTTTTGTGTCTTGTCCCGGCCGGGTCAAAGATCGTATTTTAAATCGTATTTTTAATCATATCTCAATTTTTTCAAATGGAACAAGAGTGGCTCATTAGCTTATTTGGAAAAAGCATTTTTTACGAATAATTTGGTACCAGACACTTGGTATTTCGAGTCAAATTGTCGTTATGAACCGCATTTTACGATTTCAAATAAACCATATATGCGAAAAAGTTGACATATGATATGTCATTGTGTTCAGAGTGTCATTTTCTATCCAATAAAGTAGAGACATACCGAAAATGCCATTTAAAAATCAAAAGTTGTAGTGATTTCCGGTGAAACAGGAAGTGACCAAAAACAATTGAATACCGTTAATTAATTCTAATTTATATCGTATACTAACATACTAAATCTCGTTTTTTTGTTTGAAAAAAAAAATAAAAAAGTTATAGGGGCGAGTCACTTTTTAGACGCATCCGGTATACATGTCTATGACTAGTTTACATTAAAATAAATTTTAAATTTTGAAGTCTATATTTATACTAAACAATATACATAAATTTTATAAAGTCAATAATAAGAAGCAATATTAAAAATTAAAACAATTTTTTTTCTCACGCGTATTTCAATATCTTGAAAAAACCCTGCGTAGTAAAACTCTATAATTTATTGAAATTTCTAATAACTAATAAACATAGAAATGATATTTTATCGTTGTTCCCAACATTTTAAAAATATTTACCACAAGTTATTAGAGTATGAAAATCGTTTTATTATTTATTTTTTTTAGATCATATTTTCTTGCTAAATAAAAAACTTTGTAGTTGACGAACAAAGAAGTTCAAACTCGTCAATTTAATCTTCATAATCTTTGCATTTTTTTTGAAAGTCTATTTTTTCATAACTTAGTAAGGTATGATTAACGTTTCTTTAAATTCTTTTTTTGTCTCACGACGATTCATAACAGACACACTCTCTATCTTTCTCACTCTCTCAAATATCGATTACTCGTGTCTCAGACTCGCCGTAGGTAGGGTACACAATGGGCCAGTCGTCCAAACAAAACACTGTAACAGAATCGATCACTTTCAGTTGGAAAAGCTTGCGCTGGGAAACAGTGTCTCTGGGCGTGTCATAGAGTCTGTCACGCTGACTCAAGTTATTTTTTATCTCGGGAAATACGATTCGAAAACACGTCGCAATGATTGTCAGTGTTTCCCTGTGACACTGGCTGGTTACAGTGCAACATGGTAAAACTTGAGATCGTATAAGAGAAAGATATAATCAACTCTTAACAAAATATGCTTTTTGTAAGTTTTTTATAATGTTTTTAATATTATACTTCCTTATTTCTTATCGGAACCTTTTTTTAGAGGGTTACAAAATAACACAAAATTTAAACGTTAATACATAAAAGAATAGTTTAATGTAGCTTAGAATGTCAAGTTTGCTTTGTCAGAAAAATTTAAAACATATTGTTTACTATTAGATCAAAATCTAGAGTATTTCCCTACTATTCAGTGTGCTTATATAATTATTTTTATAACTAAAGCCGCTTTTTTATTGGTTTTGTATGTAAAATTGGTGTTTCTATACATTTCTAATGATATTACATATCCTGTTCTACGTAGATCTTTTGTTTACATTAAGCTCTCTATTGGTGTATTCATTTTTTATTAGTTTTTCTATAAAAGTTTACTAGAATAATTCCAAATATTATGGTAATACTGTTTTACATCTGTTACAAGAATTTAAAAAATGCCAAAAGAAAATTAATTACTACAATTATTATGCTCAAGATTATAATTTATTAGACACATATTGACACTTCTAATTAATGGATGTGGAAACAATAGCGTCATTAGTTCCTTTCAAGGCGTGGTTTATTTTGTTTTTATAATTAGTGAAGAATTATTGTAGATATGTAATTTATAGCATCCTGTTTTTTTGAATAAAATAAATACTTATTATATTGAAAAACAATAACGATGATACCTGCAAGAAATTTGTTATAAATTCGGTCTTTTCAAAATGTCCAAAATAATGTATTATACATTATCAATATTAACCTATTAACCTTACCACAAAGTAATAGAATTACTTGTATGTGGAAAGGAATATAATTTCATTACGACATAATACAGGGTGGTTCGAACTGTATTCCAAAAACTTCGACAGCATATTCTGCAGATAAAAATAAGTACAGAAGTTCGTATAAATGAATATCCTAAATTGCTTAATTTCGAAGATACAGGGTGTAGAAGTTTCATTTTTATTTCGATTTTTTCCGAATAATTTCTGACGTAACGTCAATATTTGGATGGAAATTGGTGTCTCGGTGTTTTTTGACATAATAAATTTGATTTTGATGTTAATATGACTCCTATTTGTAGGAGGTGTCACCTACATGTGTTTTAACTGTTTTAAACAGTAATAACTTTTCGTCCGTACCTGTATAAAACTACCGAGTAAAAAAATATACATTTTCGTGACTTTTTACGCAAAAAATGTCTCTTGATAAAAATCGCTACGAGCAACCGTTCTCAAGATATTTAGAATGACTTTTACCCTGATAACATTTTTATTACATCTTGGTAAGTACAGTTGACGTATATCCAGAGATGAGAAGATACTGGCTGGTATTAAATAAGCTGTTAACAGCTTAATAAATGTTTTTTTTTCTCTTCATTTCAGTGACTTAATTATGGAAATATCTGTGATCCAATCGAGAACTTACGCGACACATTTGGTTCCTGTTAAAACGAATTTTTCTAGATTGAATGTTGTTGATTCGTCAAAAAACTCGCGGCATCAGTTACGCAACGACATGCACGTGGAATTTAATAAAACCATGCCGAAACTGAACGCAACCAAGTCGAATTATACGTATTTGGAGAACTTGGTCACGTGGAACACCAGTGACTTCTACTACAACGTATCGAATAGTTCGGATTTGGACTATGACTATCAGATGATGAATGGTGAGTCTAGACACTATATTCAATATACAATTTCTTTTTTTGAAAATCTCTGGGTATTAAACTAGTAAAAACTTAAGGAGGTATAGGCTTGGTGAATTCTCGGCCGGTGCTGCTACCATCGGAGAATATCGTAAACAACTAGTATATACAATAATAATTGTAACAAAGTATAATTGGTAAAAATTCTAAAAATAAAAATAAAAAGTAAATATTTTGATATCTTCAAGAGGGCTAATTTGTATTATAACTTATTATTCCAGCTAAAAAAACTTTTTAGATGTGTTCAACTACGGTAGCATAGTTTTAATCAATGGTTCTGTTAGTGGAGTTATAATTAGGGCTATTTCGGTTGTAACGATTTTTTTTAAAGATACATAATTATACTTTTAGAAGATGTTCATAAAACATTTAATCACTAGTTGATTCAAAAAAGTATACCATTAATATCTGTAATTAATATTGCAAATTATATTTTATCCTCTTATAGTATATGGCTATTTAATTTTATGATTATGTAACGAGCGTTTTGTTTAGTCACTTGTTTCATCGAACTGCTTGAATCTATTTTTGCCTTTGATCAAATCGGTGTGAGAAACTATGAAGCTATAAAATGTTGTTTCGGGAGAGTTGAATATCCGAGAAAGTTGAGTTATTGAATGTTATTGCCCCAACAACGCCTTAATTATGCTCTCCTTTGTGTGTTAACAATTTTTCACAGCACGAGCCTAGTTCGATACACTAGCAAAAATTAAAATACTTAAATATTACGACAAAATCACGATTTAACCTATTTTTTTATTTTTTGGCTTAAGGAAAATCTTAGAAAAGGAAAACACTTGTTTGAGAAAGATCATTATGAATTAAATCTGATATTCTCTCTAGCTGTTAAGTACGTTTATCAAACTCCTTTTCAAACTTCTGAGTTTGTTTACGAACTTTCAAGAACAACGTCAACACTTCAAGATATTTAATACTGTTTTCTGTAGTCCAAAAATAGAAATAGATTTATTCAAGCTGTATTTTTAGTTCGTTCTAAGGAAGACTACGGAACGGAACTAAAAACTAAAAAGTACGGAACTAAAAACAAAAAAAAAATCCAAAAAATGTTTAGAAAAATTCTAAATTTTCATGTTTTTTAACTGGGACAACTTGCATACTATAATTAAAAAAAGAATATTCAATGGAGATAGGTAAAGATAGAACAGAATAATATTAAAGATAGAATAAATCTGTATATTGCGATAATATTAAGATTATTAAATATTTTTTTATCTTTATACTTTATAAAATACTCAATTTCGGGGTATTAAAGAAGGTTAATAATATCTGGGATATTCCCTCTCAGACAGGAAAAATAATGGAAAATAATAAACCAGAGACCTAATAACATTCCATTAAACTATACGACATACATTTTCCAAGCACTAAGCTCCCGCGCTGTTTCTCTACTTTCCTTGGAAATTTATCGAAGACCGTGGGCTCAGTTTATTGGACTGCGAGGAGGAAAGTAAAGTCTACGGTTGGACCTGGAAACAAACAGATATAAAATAAATTTACGATTCAAAGGCAAGTCCACAAACATGACTTTATTGGAAATTTATAAGATCTTGGTCTATTTTAGGCCAAGTTCTTGGTTTTAAATTTGTCAGAGAATATTGTAAAATATACAGGTTGGTACAGTATCCCAAAAAAACTCTATAAAGGAGATTTCCCTTATTTTTATCTCTTTAACGCAGTTTAACCGCAAAACGGACCATGCTCAAAATTGTTTAGTAGAGACGAGACAAGTTGGCGATTATATTTAATGATCTAAGCAGATTTAATTTCAGGAAAAGAACAATCACAGAATAAAATTCAAAATGACAAATATCAGATTAGAAAAACAAATATCATGATGAAACAATGCTAACTTGTCATTTCAGATTGATTTAATTCAATTATACAAATAAAATACAAATCGTGTATCATGTTCTTTTCAATTATGAAATATTTTTCTATATTTTTAGGTACCATAGATGATTCATCGTGGTCAATGTGTAAAGAGTGGACACCAGCGCAACATAGTCTATTTCAGACAGCTAACTTTTTCTTTGCAGCTGCATTTCTTGTACCGGGCAGCTTCAAACAGAGTGTACTTCTAGTCAGGTGAAATTAACTATTTTATACTTAGAAAAATGACAAGAACAGACAGATATATTCCTAATGACACTGATGAATTTGGCAAACACAAGATGGCTAGTTTAAATTTCTTAGCTCATAGACTACTTAGTTTTCTAGGTGCTAATGTAGAAATATAGCTGGTTGTGTCCCTTTTTTAGTTGATGAAATAATTAGAAAACGTAGATATAAGTTTACGATTTTTGCAAACTTTTTTTCCTTAATAATTCTATCCTTTCCAGAGCTCTACTGTCCTTCGGCTATTTTTTTCTGGCAATCTGGGGAGGCATGGAAGTGTGTGCTCCGGACATCTTACTTTGGAATTCCATCATAGTAGTTTTAAATTGTACCCACACAGCGATGCTCACGTGGAGATTTCTGCCTCCCACGTTAACTCTGGAGTTGACGGAACTTTATATTAAGGTAGGATCACACGTACGTGACTGTTTTACGTTAGTTAGCGTCAAGTTAAATGAGTTTACTTCAGACTTTCTAACTAATAAATAATAAATAGAACAAAGTTATGTTATATTAAGACAATTTATAACTTAAGAATGACCGGATTGATTTTAATGATCTCTGATTTGTTGGTCTCTGTCCCGAATAGCAGAATAACTATTAAAATATCGAAAAAAATATATACAAAATTATTTTTTTAATAAATCAGATTTGGAACTCCGCCATCTTCAGTAATTGACAGCTCACGTCACGCACGCTTACAGTTTTTTTTTTCTAATAATTGCGATCCATCGCTTGTCATTCGTTTTGAAAGTTTAGTTTTGTATTACGAGATTTTCGTTTAAATAAATTGTGTTTTGATACTTTAAGCTTGCAAATTTTTACTAGCAAACCATGCGGTCGAAAATTGTTCTTTTTAGAACCTCTGTTAGTGCAAAGTGAACAAAATTAGCTTAATAGCCGTTGCAAAAAATTCATCGTAACCTTATTAGAATATTTTGAACGGGAAAGCGGTAGTAATGGCCCTTTATGTCACTTAAGTGCTGTTAAAGAGGTGAGTTTTTTTGATGTAAATAAAAACTGTTTATATATTTATAATTAATTTAGTTTTATTTGTTAAAATATTTTGATTAAAAGAAAATATGTAAAAGTAGGCAACGCTGTGCCGGTCAAGCTTAATCACGTGACTAAAAGTTTATTTGTTACGATCTATAGAAAGATATAATATAGAGAACAATAATTATTGACAACAAAAACAAAAAAATTAAAAAATATGTTAGATATTTTAATTTATAGAAGATTGATGGATAGAATTTCTTTTTCCGATTTATGTTCAACAGATTTTTGAGGAAGACTGAGTAAAATAAATATAATAAAATTTGTAAAACAGATTTTGAATGAAGAATTAAAAGGACATATATATAAAAATAAAAGAAAAATCCTTAAAAGACAACTGGATGAACCATAAAATACAGATAGCACGAATCGGGAAATGGCACGTCAAATGTTAAAAGAAAATTGCTATATTTTTAGAATTTTCACGCGATTTTCCATATCATTTAGAGCAAAGTTCGACTTTAGAATATAAAGACATATCTTAATATACATGGAAATTTCGGCAGCATATTTTGCAGAAAAAAATAAGTAAAAAAGTTCGTATAAATGTATATTCTAAAATGCTTTGCTTAGGAGATACAGGGTGTATTAACAAATCAAATTTAATAATACATTATTTGAAAATCTCACAGATGAAAGACTTATCTATATTACAGAGATGGATCCAAAAATTAACGAACATTGTTAGTTTAAAAAAAAACGTTGAACTAACGAATTATTTAGTTCAAATTTCAACCCTTCTGTGGTTTTAAGTGTCTGTCTGGACAAACAACAGATCGATAGATCATTAATGCATATTTTATGTTTGTTACCAAAACAATAAACTTTTTACTCTGTAAACTTCTTTGAAACTGAAATAAAATTATCAAAATTACACATGGTAGGTATATACATTTTATTTTACAAAGTTGATGTATACAGGGTGGTCAAAACTGTATTCCGGACACTTCGGCAGCATATTCTGCAGATAAAAATAAGTAAAAAAGTTCGTATAAATGTTTGTCCTAAAATGCTTAATTTCGGAGATACAGGGTGCAATTTTTACCAAGAGACATTTTTTACGTAAAAAATCACGGAAATGTATATTTTTTCACTCAGTAGTTTTACGGATGAAAATGTATTACTCTTCAGAAGAGTTAAAACACATGTAGGTGGCGCCCCCTACAAATAGGAGTCATATTGACACCAAAAAATCAAATTTCTCATGTCAAAAAACTCCCAGAAGCCAATTTTCATCCAAATATTGACGTTACTTCAGAAATTATTTGAAAAAAATCGAAATAAAAATGAAACTTCTACTCCCTGTATCTCCGAAACTAAACATTTTAGGACATACATTTATACGAACATTTTTACTTATTTTTATCTGTAGACTATGCTGTCACCACGAACTTATACTCGTAGATCTATTATGTCCTCCTTTCTTGAGTTATAACTAATTATACAATCTCAGTGCTTTGAGAAAAGCCAGTATCTGAGACGGTTTTATAGGAGACAGTGTCCTGCTAAAACCCATGATAATCCGAACATTGCTTTTACTTAAATCAAAGAAAAAATTTGATTTTTCTCGGTCATAAGTTCTGAGAAAATGTCTTAGAATCCATGTTACCGATTGAGTCTTCCAGATTCTTGAGTTCTGCTTTAAGTTCATTAATTAGTACCTTAAGGTTATTAATGCTAAGTTCTTACATTTTTTTACAGGTATTTAAGCCACTTAGAGTCAGCAAAAAACACTTCAAAGAACTGGTAAAGGAAGCCAAAGTGATGACGCTAGAAACTGGTGACATCTACGCGGTGGAAGACATAAGTCCTGCAGATGAACGTCTATCAATATTACTCAAAGGCAGGTAAGAATAGAGAATTAGCTACATTATTTTTGTATAAGTACTGTAATATTTCTTCATAGTGGGTCCATCATAATTACTATAGTCTTGATTCCAAAAGAATTTTGAACTTACAATGACAATTTTGGTCAATTAATGTAAAAAAGTAGCCAAAAACAGACAATTTTTCAACATTTTTCCATACATATAGTCATGAAAATTGACGATTTTAATAAAACTACTGTTATCGACTAAATAAAAGACGTAGATTATGAAAATATAGACTATTTTGGACGACGTTACTAGATGTAGGCAAAGATCTAACAGCCATAAAAAATCGTTCAAAAACACGAGTCGGAAAATTAATTTTCTTACAAAACTGGAGCATTTAAATTTTTAAACGCCCTATACCTTCTAAAAGTACATAGAATTTTCTACTTATCCTGAAATTTGCATAATTTTATAACTCTGTTTACTATTTTTTTGAAAGCCTCGGAAATGTGTGAAAAAATAGCTAAAAACAGGCAATTTTCCAACATTTTTTTAGTCATGAAAATTGACGATTTTGGCAAAGTCACTGATTTGGATAAAACTGCTCTTGTTGACTAACCCAAAAACATAGATTATAAAAATATAGTCCTTTTGGATTGTATGAGTACGGTACTAGATGTAGGGCTAAGATTTAACAACCCTAAAAATTCGTTCAAAAACAAGGATCCAAAAAATTAATTTTCTTACAAAATGGGAGCATTTAAATTCTTAAAAGCTTATATACTCTAAAAGTACATCAAATTTTCTACTAATCCTGAAATGTACATAATTTTATATCTATGTTTACTATTTTTTTGAGAGCCTCACATAATATAGCCAAAAACAGGCAATTTTTCAATATTTAGTCATGAAAATTGACGATTTTGGTAAAGTCACCGATTTTAATAAAACTACTCTTATTGACTAACCAAAAGACACAGATTATAAAAATATAGTCCTTTTGGATTGTGTGATTACGGTACTAGATGTAGGCAAGGATTTAATAACCATAAAAAATCGTTCAGAAACAAGGGTCGGACAAATCAATTTTCTTACAAAACTGGGGCATTTAAATTTTTAAACGCCTATATACTCCAAAAGTACATAAAATTTCCTACTTATCCTGACATTTCCATAATTTTATGACTATGTTTACTATTTTTTTGAGAGCCTTGAAAAGTAGGGCCAAAAAACAGGCAATTTTTCAACATTTTTCGATACATATAGTCATGAAAATTGACGATTTTGATAAAACTACTGTTATTGACTAACTAAAACACGTAGATTATGAAAATATAAACCGTTTTGTTCTTAAGAGTTCGGTACCAGATGTAGGCAAAGTTTTAAACTATAAAAAATCGGTCAAAAACAAGATTTCGAAAAATTAATTTTCCAGAACAAGTCCAGAACATTTAAAAGGCTTTAAACTCTAACTACTACTCTAAAAGTATATATGGGAAATGTCAAATACATCCTCATTCGATATGTTATAGGTTGAGAGTGACCTGTGACGACACACATCTGCATTTCATTGGTCAGCATCAATTCGTGGACTCGCCAGAATGGGAGGCCAATCACGAGCAGTCCGATGACGTGTTCCAAGTGACAATCACAGCGGAAGAGGACAGCACTTACCTTTGCTGGTCCAGGATGAAGCTGGAGAGGGTTTTGAGGCACAGACCCATGCTCAAAACAGTCTTAGACTCTGTTATAGGTAATTGTTTTACCATAGACCTCAGCTTAATCAAAGTAATTATCTATTATTATTTTATTTTATCTTTTATCTTGGCACTTTTTAAGTCGCACCTCAGATATGCCCCTCCATTCTGGGGTACATGTTGTGCGACTCCGCATTTTCAAGCTCCAGAAGAGAACTGTTTGATATTCACTGGGACTAAATAGAAGAACTCATTGCTAGGACTTTTTTAAAAAATTAAAAATGTTAACTCTTACTTCCTTATTTATATCTGAATCCGTTTGCCTAATACGTAGGCATGAATCAGCTCTCATCTCTTCAATATTATACAACTCGAAAAAAATGCACATCACCTACCATTTGAAATCAAATCCATAACATCATTTTCTTCATTTCGCAAAGCATTGAAATCTTATTTACTAGACAAGGCTTTCTACGCCGTAAATGACTTATATTTTGATAATCGAATTTGATCTTGTAAACACTGGTCTAATATTTGCTATTAGTGTATTTATTATAAACTTACTAAATATTTTTGAATCTTATTTTTATTTTTTTATTCTTTTACATTGTAAACATTTATAAACGTTTATTTTAAACAATAAGACTGACAATGTAATTTGTATACTTGTTTTGTATTCTCTTTTGTTTGTTTACTTTACCTTTGTCTAAAAATTGTAAAATTTGTTGACAATAAAGGTATTTATTTATTTATTCGTATTAGGTAAGGATATTACACAGAAACTGTACGCTCTCAACGAGCATCTCAGTGGACTTAATGATGAGAGAAACAGAGGTAAAAGAAACGAAATATGGGCAAAAACGCACAATAGAAGCATGTCAATGGATGCTGTCAACACCGGTACCACTGGATTGGTCAGATCGCAAGCTTATAAGTCAGCTGTGAAGAACTGTAATCCTTTTAGTCCTACAAACAGTAAGTGTTGTCATCTGAACCGTCCTAGAACTCTGCAGCGCATGCGCAAATGAAATAATATCTTCATATTTCCTTCTGCGCATACGCATCACAGTTCTAGGACGGTTCAGAATCGGTAATAACAGGAAAACGAAAAAAGCTTATGTTCTTTTATATTCAGGTTGCCACTGACTTTTTTTCTCATGTTAGCGATATAATTGTTGTGGGTTCAATTTTTTTTCTATACTTTTTCAGTGGGCTCCATAGGAAAACTGCAACAAAACAACCACCAACAGAGCTGGGTACCGATAGTTGTTAGTCAATTTCCAACAACTTCACCATTCATCACTCAAAATTCAACAAATACCACCAAAATACCCGAAGTTCATACACCACAAAGAACCAGATCATTGAAAGGATCGAAAAAAGACAGGGAAGTCAAATTTCAGGCTGAAAAATAAAAAAAATTCAGATGAAATATATCCAAAAAATCGAGAAAAATAAGACTTGTTTTGAAAAAAAAATTCTATCACCTTGTATACATATTTCAAGGCAAATTTTTATTGTTTTTTATAATTTATTTTCTTTATACGTCTAAGAACTATAATATCTGCAAAAATACTTGCATATCGATAGTTCTTTCCTTTTTCAGGTGTATAGTCATCAAATTTTTCACTCAAAATGAATAAAAATATCCTCATGACCACTCACCAATACATATTGAGTTAATTTCTTTATTATGGACTAAAAATTTGCTTTTATTTTTTGTTATTACCAACATTTTATCACAAAAAGTTTGAAAAATATGATTTTTCTCCATATTTCAACAAATTACAAACCAAAACAATTTTATTATTAATCACCATCAGTTCAAGCATCAAGTGTGCTTTGGAATGTAACTCTTCTTCTTTTAATTTTTTCGTAAACTTATAATCATAGTTCCAGGGGCCAACCTTGCCTACTGCGAATTGTAAAAAGCCTTATATTATGAAATAAAAGCTTTATAACGATCGTACAGGGTGAGTCAACTACAGAGCAATATTCATTATCACACTTCTATTGAGAATTACGAATTTTTAAGTGTAACACCCTATTTTTATGTATTCTGCGTAAAATTCTATAACGGTTTTTGAAGTCTGAACATTACTCTATTCGTTGATTCATCCTGTATGTATGATATGATCGAATATATTCTTGATTTTAATTACTTATTTAGTATATTCAAGATTTATTCGATTATAAATATATATCTACGTAAAAAATGGTCTAAAAGACCAACCAAGCATAATATTGTGCCTTTAGAACCAAAAAATATATATTAAAAAATAACCGTACTTCATTTTTGACCTGCACAACTTTTTGTTGAAACTTAGCAGCATACAAACTACATGTATATTATTGTGTAGCTAGCTAAATGTCGTATTTACATGTATACTCAATATAACAAAGTATCTATACAGGGTATATTAAGAATTATATTATTTAGTGCCAAACCCCTATATACTACGATGTTAAAAAATTATTAAAGTATTTTTTAAAATACCCTGTATTATATTTTATACATACACATGTTACTGGGTGTTTGTTTAGTCATAAACTGATGTCATATTATTATCAATCATAATATAAGTGTTGTAAAACCATATATGTAACATTAAAATAATTAAAATATATAGAGAGACGAAAATTATAAACTGAATTAATATATAATTCCACAACTTGCCTTCCAAACATGTAAACTTTATATATATTTTATAAAACTAAACCTCCAGGTATTGCAACTAATTCGTTTTTATATAATTATTATATTTAGAAAAATGCAGTTACTGTAAATAATAGAGGTATATGTTAATATTGTTTATAGATACGTGTACATATTTATATTTGTATGTTTATATTTGTCGTGTTTATAACATTATATAGTTGTGATGTAATAAAGACTTTTTGAAAACTACGCATTCGCATTTATTCAAATTCAATTCTCTTTATTCCTCTTTAATCCATATGCAACTCTTAATACACTCAGCGTGTATGAAAAGTTGCATAACCACTTCAATGAAATTTGTGATTTTTTGGTTGCCTAAATAAATATATCAATTTTGACATGTCAGAATCAGAATTTTAGAATTATTGTATCCTGTTTATTAAAAATATAAAGTATTTAAGAAATATAACTGAAAAAAGCAATAAGTTCTGTTTAAAAGAATAGTAAATATTGTTGGAATACACTCAGTGATATTATATTGCTTTATTCTTTTTAGCAGACAACGTGTTTCTTAAATAATACAAGTAACCTCAAAATCCAATATTTTTATTACCTAAACACATTTTTCTATAATAAGACTAAGTTACAATGCCGAATAAGAAGCAGCATCATACAAGAAGAGGCTTCAGAGGAGGGAAAAATGTTACCAATAAATATAACACACCCAAACTGACAAAACAAGAATATTGTAACACAGAGCAGCTTGTCGAAGAGGAAGTTGGTATAACGCAGTATCTCAGCGAATTAGAAGGCTACCAGGGCGTGATTAAGCAGAGATTTTCCGATTTCCAAGTAAACGAAATCGATTTAAACGGTAGAATTGCCAAACTGACCAATACAAAAATGCCGGAAGGTTTTTCCACCAAACTACAGAAGTTTTCGTATAAAGAAACTGAGAAGAGTCCTTGTGATAAAATACCTCAAGAGACTTGGGAGGCTGTGAGAAACCTGATGAATACTTCTGAAGGGGAATCAGTTATTCTAGATGCACAGCTTTTAAGTAAAGATGATAGACGTGAGATTCATGAAAGTATGAAGAGTTATTTCGGACAAAAAGTGATTCCTACGACTATGGAGAAGGATGGTAAAACAGTTATGGAGTTTAAACGGTGTACTAAGGAATGTTAGTACTATCTAGATTATTAGTTAGTTAGTTTTTTGTAATTTGTTAAACTTTTTAGTGGTAGATAACAGGTTTACATGGCCTAAAGATACACCTGAATACGTACATTTTATTGTTTATAAAGAACTAATGGACACAATGGAGGCTTGCCATAGATTAAGCCAAGCTATCCGGGTGCCTGTACAAAAAATAACCTACGCAGGGCTGAAAGATCGCAGAGCGAAAACTTCCCAGTGGTTCAGCATTAAAAAACTTATACCCTTCAAACTGTTTAAAAAAAGAGTAAGAAATATAAGGATTGGAAACATTGAATTCAAAGATAAACCTCTAGCTTTGGGTGATTTGAAAGGGAATAGATTCAGGATAGCTTTGAGAAATGTCCAGGCCGATGATGAGTTAATTTTGAAGAGCATGGAGCATGTTAAAGAGAGTGGATTTATAAATTATTACGGTATGCAGAGGTTTGGAAATAATAAAGAGGTTCCCACTCATTTGATTGGAGTGAAATTGTTGTTAGGTGAATGGAAAGAGGTAGGTATCTTATTTTTAAAGCTACTATGACTGTTTTTTTTTGGTCTCACAGTAAATATTATGACATTTATATTTTTAGGCAGTTGATTTAATACTTAAGCTTAAAACAACAGATAACCTCGAGTTAGATATAAACAAAATTAAGAAAAAATATGCCGAGACCGGTAGTGCAAAAGAAGCACTACAGTTGGCTGACAGAAACAGTGACAGTTGTATAGAACTGTCATTACTAAGAGGACTTGCCAAAAGTAACACAAATGATTACGTGAACGCATTAGAAAATGTAAGATTTATACTTATTATTCTGTGTTTTAAGATATTTATTATTATTTTTTCCTTTGAAGATTCCTAGACCTACAAGACTCATGTATATTCACGCTTTTCAAAGTTTGATATTTAATAAAATGGCATCGTGTAGGATAAAAGAATTCGGCGTGAAACCGGTTGTTGGTGACTTGGTTTATGTTGATAAATCAGTAGAGACAGAGGTAGAGTCGGATATAAATGACATGGAGACAGGTTAGTCTGACATTATTTTTTTTAGTTTTTCTCTTTATTTATTTTTCTTTAATATTATTTGTGCCATAAATACTAAATTCTCCAGCCTTTATAAAAATCACATTTTTCTCTTGAAATATCGGTAATTAAAACATTATATCTAGTTTTGTCTCGCCCTGTATATAGATACTAAGAAATTTAGCCCAATCTAGTATGATAATTTTGAAGAATACACGGTCTAAAATATTTTTAGATGATACGGAGTGTAGTGATGCAGAAGAAAAATCTCCTAAGCCTGCTGTTAAAGCATTGGCAGCTGATGATCTTGAAAATTACAGTGTTTATGATATTTTACTGCCATTACCGGGATATGATATAGTTTATCCTGATCATATGAAACAGTTTTATCAAGAAGCTATAGAAGAATGGGGATTGAAATTAGAAATGCCTAAACAATCTGTAAAGTATGAGAAAATTGAGAATAAAAATTATATTAATGTTAACTAAAAAGCTAATGAATATTATTATTATTTTTTAGGACATATAATTTAGGAGGAACGTATAGAAAAGTTTTAGGAAAATGTGAGGATTTAGAATGGAAAATAATGTATTTTAATAATCCTACAGATGATCTGATTAGGTCAGATCTTGGAGAGCTTACTGGAGAAGAGGAACCTAAAAGTATCGAAAGTAAGTTTATTTTATTAATTTTACATTATTTTTTTACAATATCATTTGCTCTTATTTTCCTTTTTTAATTATTTCTGAAGCAGTAATACGAGGTTTTTCACTCTGTTTCTTCATTAAAAAAGGTTTTTAAATTCTAATTTAGATAGAAATATGAATACTTTGGGTTAAATATATTTTAGGTGTAATTTCTGTTTAAAGTATTTTCTATTTTCACGCATATATAAGCGGTATAACCGGAATTGGTTTTTATTTTGCTTACTTTAAATAGAAACACCCTGTATCGTTTATGCTTTTTTGAATTTTGTGTGTAATAATGTTTTATACCTTCTGTTTTTGAAATATTTGTAATTTTATGCCAAAAATTACAGTTGTAAAACGAAGGAAAATTTTACATTTTTTGGCATTGATTTTTTGATATAAATTTATTTTGCGAGGTTTTTCACTCTGTTTCTTCATTAAAAAAGGTTTTAAATTCTAATTTAGATAGAAATATGAATACTTTGGGTTAAATATATTTTAGGTGTAATTTCTGTTTAAAGTATTTTCTATTTTCACGCATATATACGCGGTATAACCGGAATTGGTTTTTATTTTGCTTACTTTAAATAGAAACACCCTGTGTCGTTTATGCTTTTTTGGATTTTGTGTGTAATAATGTTTTATACCTTCTGTTTTTGAAATATTTGTAATTTTATGTCAAAAATTACATTTGTAAAACGAAAGAAAATTTTACATTTTTTGGCATTGATTTTTTGATATAAATTTATTTTGCCTGTTTTTTAAAAAAAGGTTGTGATATAATTTTATATAATTTTACATAATTTTATATAATTTTATATAATTATATATAATTTTGTATAATGTCATATAATTTTGTATAATTATACAGGGTGTCCCAGAAATAAGGGCAAGTATTTTAAGGTGTGGTAGATCTCGATAAAAGAAACATATTTTCTCCTTATCGTTTTTCAAATAAGTCCAAAATAACGGAGTTATTTTACTTTGAAAATTTCCAAAAAAAAAATGATTTTTTGCTAAAATTTTGAGAACCACTGGATCTTTTCTGGATTTTCTTTCTTGGAAATTTAATCTACTACCTATGTTGTGATGATTGCAGTTAAAATACTTGCCCTTATTTCTGGGACACTCTGTATATAAATAAAAATTCTGAAACTAGTTGAACTGATATTATTAGTTTGTGTTTAAATTAAACTCTAAAAATACTCTAAATAAACAAAGTATTTGTTTATATTTTGCTTGGATATGTTTAAGGATATGTTGGGTCAACAAATCATGTACAAGTTTGTATTGGTTATGGTGGGTTCATACAGCCAAATAAAATAAAATAAGAATAAAATAAAATAAAATAAGAAAGTTGGTTATATGGGATACCGTACATGCGTTCATACAGCCAAATAAAATAACAAATAAAATAAGAAGTCTTTATCTTTTAACTTCTTGTTTTATTTTATGTGAAAACGGCTTTGCGCACGCTTAATTCTAACCTACAAATATTTTCAGTTTGGATTTAATTTATTTTATAATTTCACATAAGTAAAATGTATAATATAGTAGGCAACGAATAAATAAATATACTATAAATAGTAAAATTACTATAAACAATCGTAAAAGTTAACTTTTATCCAGCCTCATCGTACTGCGCATGAGCAAATATATATTTCTTATTTTATTTTATTTGACTGTATGAACGCACACAAATAAGAAGTCCTTATTTCTTATTTTATTTTATTTGGCTGTATGAACAGGGTTCGGAAAACTACATGTTACTTTTAAAAACTACATAAACTACATTACATGTAGTTAATGTAGTTTATGTAGAGGGTGTAGTTTATGTAACCTATGTATGTAACTTTCAAATATCAAAGGTTTGAGGTGAGGTTATAAGAAGTTGAAGCTTTAAAAACACATAATGTATTTAAGAAAACGGAAGAAATATGGCTTTAAATATAATATTTACATCATATTATCTCTATTGCACCTCATACAAAGGAAAATTATTCATAATATCAATACATAGTTTATTAACGTAGGTTTCATGTAGATAATGAACTGGAAAAGACGTAGTTTTGAAGAAAAACTACACGTAGTTAATCAGGTAAATTACGTCTTAATTAACTACTTCCGAACCCTGTGTATGAACCCACCTAGTCTTCCTTTTATGCACGTCTATGGACATGTCACTTTTCTATATTTTTCTTATCTATGGCTGTTTTCTATATTGCTGGTTGCATAAGGACGTTGTGCTAACGGACTCAAATATTTTTTTTTCCTCAGATGGTACATACAAGGCTGTGATAGTCTCCTTTAATTTAAACCCTTGCTCATACGCGACGATGGTATTAAGGGAAATGATGAAACAAAACACATCGAGCAATCATCAGTCTCTGTTAAATAATTACGCGGATACAGAGGACAAAAAAACAACGCTTAATCAATCTTTTGATAAAAATAAACCTACTAAAGTTATAGAGGAGATTACAAATGGTGTGTTAGATTCAAGTAAGGAACAAATAGAAGAAATTATTACATTGCCAGGGAGTTTGTTGGCAAACAAAGAAAAGTACGAAGACTTTAAGAATAATCTTTTTAAAGACTTGCTAGGTGATAATACTGAGGAGGAGGGGTCGTCGAAACGTTGTTTAGAGAGTGAAGAAATTGATAGGAAGAAGCTTAAAACTGAGTAAAATGTTGCAATGTTAAAATGTATGTTAAAAATAAATATGTTTTTTATATAATACAACCTTATTTTTGTGTTTCTTTATCCCTTTCAATATTTACTATACCAGAGGTCGGCAACCTTTTGAGCTGGAAGAGTTGAAAATGACAAATTACAAAATTACAAGGTTTTTAAAGACTCATAATGTAAATTACTCTCAGATAAAAATTTATTTTTAAATATATTTAAAAAAGGGCGAATGCGCTAGGAACAGAGGAAGAATAATAAATTTTCACAGGCATGTTATATTGAGTACAATTTTGGTACAATTCAGTGGCGCATCTAGAGATTGAGTTTGGGAGGGGTAGAAGCAATATACAGGCTTGTTCACCACATACGACACGGAGTATTGTAACTAAACGATTAGATTTTTACAAATTGTACGTTTTGGGTTCGTTGAAGGACTATTAGAGCTACAATTTAAAAATATTTTTACAAGATACAGAGTGTCCCGAATGTGTAAAAAATATTATAGTTGTATTTTTTTAAATGGAACTCCCTGTATATTATTCTATTTTTAGATTCTACGATTAAAATAAAGGTAAATTTGATTAAGATTTATCACACTTAAACCTTACCGTTTTTGAAATATTTTCAATTTTATAAAATTGCAGTAAAAATGTTAAGGCTTCATTTCTCCAAGGGTATCAAAGTTTTTAATACTAAATATTTACTGAAGATTATTTATTGATCAGATATTGTGTTGCAATAATAAAAATTTTACGACCTTATACAGAGTGTCCAAAAATTTATATTAAATAATTACTAGCTTTAAACGGCAACAACTTGTTTAATTTAAATGGAACACCCTATATATTTTACGTGAATCAGATGCACAATGTAATTTGTGTTTTATTTGATAATATTCGTAGTTCTGCCAGTTTTACAACACAAAAATTTTTGTATCTCGTTGGTATGAATATAACTTTAAGTTGAGACAAATATAAATACGTTAGAGATATCATTCATCCTGAAATAACAGTTACTTATCTACCTCAAGCTGGGCCATCGCGTCAGCTTCAAGATCCTCCGTACCGTATATTATTGCTATATCACAGGTAGTTTTATTTATAAAGGTTCTAACGAACGAAGGAACTAACGTCTGGGATCAGCGCGACCAGGTGATTTCTTTAAAGATTTTATAGCTGCAGCAGCAGCAGATGTGCTTTGTAGGTTTGGCGCGAGCCAAATGACAAAGACTATTTATCACGTCGCGAGACAGACAGACAGAAGTTCGTTTGGGTGTGGAGAACCGGAGCTTTTTCGGCTCGTATTTTTGATTTTCGAAAATTGAAAATGACTGATGGTAAACGCATAGAGAAATTTTGATGACGAAACGATGACTTGAAAGAACTCTATATATTTTCATTAACCAAAATTGGAAATTTTTTTGAATAGGATGAACTTTTTTAGTAATTTTTTATGGCCGTTTTATTACAATATTATCAGGTGTTTTTGATATAATAAACTACTGTTGATCGAATAAAACGACGTCCAAACCAAACCAAACACTTTTACTTTTACACTGGACGCGCGTTTCGCTAACCATGTTAGCATCATCAGCAGATGATTATAAACTAAAGTACAATCTACAAGTTGAGCATTTATATACTCGTTCAGTGGGCACCGAGTGGGCGTGGCAAAATCTAGCCAACCGAGTCAGAGCCCACTGAGCGTAACAGTTAGATTTCCGCCACTAGAGTAGTAGGAACAAAAAACTTGAAGAAATTGGACCGTTGACTCTGTTCATACTATCTTTACATTTATTAATTCTGATGCTTTCATATGCATCTAATTGCCTGTAATTTGAGACTTGTTTAATTAATTTTAAATTATTAAGATCTATACAATGTTCATTATCAACAATATGTTCGGCAACGCAAGATTTATCCGGTCTACCATATCTTATCTGAGCTAAATGTTCTTTAAATCTAGTTAATATTGATCTTCTAGTTTGCCCAACATATTTCTGATTACAATCTTTACAAGAAATTTCATAAATACCCGACCTTTCCATTGGATGTGTTTTATCTTTTGGATTACCTAATAATTGTTGTAATTTATGCATTAATTTATTATTTATTTAAAGTAATTTATTATTTATTAGGTAATTCAAAAGATAAAACACCTCCACTGGAAAAGTCGGGTATTTATGAAATTTCTTGTAAAGATTGTAATCAGAAATATGTTGGGCAAACTAGAAGATCAATATTAACTAGATTTAAAGAACATTTAGCTTAGATAAGATATGGTAGACCGGATAAATCTTGCGTTGCCGAACATATTGTTGATAAAGAACATTGTATAGATCTTAATAATTTAAAATTAATTAAACAAGTCTCAAATTACAGGCAATTAGATGCATATGAAAGCATCAGAATTAATAAATGTAAAGATAGTATGAACAGAGTCAACGGTCCAATTCCTTCAAGTTCTTTGTTCCTACTACTCTAGTGGCGGAAATCTAACTGTTACGCTTAGTGGGCTCTGACTCGGTTGGCTAGATTTTGCCACGCCCACTCGGTGCCCACTGAGCGAGTGTATAAACGCTCAACTTGTAGATTGTACTTTAGTTTATAATCATCTGCTGATGATGCTAACATGGTTAGCGAAACGCGCGTCCAGTGTAAAAGTAAAAGTGTTTTGGTGTAACACCAAAGGTTCCAACCCTCAACTGTAGTCTATTAGACTTGGAAATGAACATCGATGACCCCCCATTCCCCATATAGGTCATATCTATACTAATATATAACATCCTTAAGTAACTCACTGATTAATCATGATCCTGCTCAAACTCCTCAACGTAAGAAGCTCAATTTTGGCATACAGGTTGATTCTAGGGTGTAGAGGTTCGATAAGAAGGGATTTTTCGAAATTCCAGTTTCTAGGGGGTGAAACCACCCCTCAAATATTACAATATTTTTTATTTAAAAAACCTTTACATTCCTTTAGTTCCTTACATATTTCAAGATTTTTTGAAAATGTATAAAGGTGTTTCGAAAAATCTGGTCATTGATTAATCGCGATCCTGCTTAAAGCTCTTGACGTAAAAAGCTGATTTTTGGAAAACGGATTGACTTTAGGGTGTAGTGGTTCGATAAGAAGGGATTTTTCAAAACTCGAATTCTAAGGGGGTGAAACCACCCCTCAAATATTAGAATATTTTTTATTTAAAAACCTTCTATATTGTATTAAATAAATATTGCATCGTGTCTCGGTCTCGTTCTCGGGCGAGACTATAAATCCAGGTTCGGTCGGACCTTCATGGTTAGTCCCAGAACGAAGTGACAACACTGGAAACCCCGCGTGTGTGTGCCAAGACCAAGAAGAGCCTCAAAACCAGAGCTAACGGTAGATACCGCGGCAGAGCTTGCGAAAAAAAGCGCTCTTGGCGCCTAAGCTCCGCTCGGCTCTTTCCGCCGCCGTTTCGCGTCGCGACGAAAGCTCCGGACGGCGTTCCTCGCTCCCATTGGCCGCGAGAAGGGACAGATGGTGGCGGCGCGCCGCTCGAATTTCGGTGGTTGGAGGACGCTTTTCGCCGCTTTTTTCCCCCCTAACTTAGTAGTCGAAAGCGAGTCGTGCGTGCTGCCGATTGTGTGTGCGTGTCGATTATATTTTTATTTACTTCAATGGTCAGTGTTCCGTTTGTTTTCTCTATGTATTTATGTCTCTTTAAACTAGAATAGACGCTGTTTGTTGCTTTGTAATTTTAGTTGTTTTGTTTTGGAGATGACAGTGTTGTTTCTGGATTTTTTCCCTTTGTAAAATAGGTATTTTGTGTGTATTTTTTTGTTTGCTTGGTGCATGAGTTTTATTTGGACTCACTTAAATTATTTAGTGCTAAACGAATTATATTATTTTAAATTTTCACGAAATAACAATAATTATTTATTATATTTTTGGCGCGTTTTTGTCAAAGATGCGTTAAATACCTATAACTACTATGTACTGCTATCAGTTCAAATTTGTTTTTTTTAAATGATTTAAGTCTTATGAGTTTTTTTACTGCCTTCGTTATCCATACGATTTTATTTACATACGGTTAAAGTTCCATTTTTCTATTTTGTTATTCTCTTTTTTTTTGCTTTTTTATTATTTTCTTTTACGTTTCAAAAATGAAAGTGTATTTTATGGCTAACAAAAGGCTTTTTTATAAAAATTAAATTATTTTTTTGGGCTTTTTCTGTTGTTTTATTAAAAATAATTTATTAAATATTTGGCGCGCTTTTTTAAACAACCTTTAAATTAGTGCGACAAATCTGTTTTAATTTTTTTTTTATAATTTCTCTTACTCATTATACCTCGTAGTCTATTTAATTAAACATAAAAATTAGCAAATTAAAACTTGACTGAATTTTTTTAAATTAAATTAAATAAAAAATATTAGTTTTAATTCTTTTCTGGATTTAGAACCATTTGTTGTATTTTTGGCGCGCTTAAAAAAACATTATGTCACTACGTTTATCTTCTATATTTAAGGGTTTTTTTATTTTTGAATGTAACTTTTTTGTGTGTTGTGGACAAATAAGTTGTGTTGTATTGCGTTTTTTTTATTTACTAGATTTTTTCAATTTAATAATTTAAAATTACATAGTTTATATTTTCTTAGATTACAGTTGGGGGTTGGAACTTTTGGTGTTATCAACAGCAAGATAAAACACTAATTTATTACCATACACCAAAACACTTTATTTTTACACTGGACGCGCGTTTCGCTCACCATGTAAGCATCCATCATCAGCAGATGATTAAAACTGGTCATCATCATCAAAAGTAAAGTGTTTTGGTGTATTGTGGTGAATTAGTGTTTTATTTTGCTTATATTTTCTGTTGTATAAAAAAATATGCGATATGTTGTTATTAACTATTTATCATACATCTTTTTTACTGTTTATGGCACTAAAACCTGTTTTATATCATTGACAACGAAAATTTTTAAAAGATATAGAAGCATTGAAACTGAAAAATGCATCTGTCTTTTATCTCCTGTAGGATTCATATACAAAATGATAAAGTCCTGTGTCAAAGCAAACCTATGACTTCTTTCTTTACTTCTACCCCAAAACATACAGAGATAGAGACGCTCTCCACTTGACAGGCACCTCCAAAGGGCGCATCGTCACCTCCACCTCACCTCAATGACGAATACTCACTTAGGGACGTATTAAATATATCGATATTTAAAATATCGATAGTATTCAGCGATAATTTTTGATGATATATCGATATGAGATTAAGTTTTCAGAACTCTAGGTTTATTTTTTTTATGAAACTTAGAAGAAACGCAGAGAAATAGAGAATGTTATGTTACTTAAGTTTTGTGACTTTTATTGAAAATACATAGATCTTTCAGCGTGTTTTAGATTTGCTCAATATCTGTTTACAAATTGCGAGTATAGAATATAAGAGTAATGCTAACCAGTTAGAATTTTACATTCATCAGCTTTCATTTAGAAAACCTGCCAATAACTTTATTTAATTAGAATTTTTGTTTACGTAATAACCATAGACAAAGTAATAAATAAAAATGTAGATATAAAAATTATTTGTATAAATATTGTACCCAAAACTGAACTGAAAAATTTGTGACAAAATTACGAATTTTATTGGACACAGTCGAAAGTCAAAGTAAAAAAGGTAGCAGTGGTCTTAATAGGTAATCTTTGGCAGTGGCAACATTGCGACATGCATTCGTCAAATATTTTGCCAGTCACGCCAACTCTTCACATTATCGATATTTCTAAAAATACCGCCATCCCTACACTCTCTGGCTAGCTGGCGTCAGCCATCGACCAAACTCCGGAGTTGCGCCTGCGTCATCCGTGGCCCAAAGTTTTCGCTTTCGCCAAAACTTCCACGGAGTTCGACGGTCTTTGTTTACAGGCCGTGGGGCTTATCCAGATGTGGAACTTTCACTTTCCTCGTATACTCCAAAACTCTTTGTGGGTCCCGCGTTTCTTTTCCAGCGAAGTTTGGAAGTTTACAACAAGCAAAAGAAAAAAAAAACTTTCAATGAATTAGGATTAAAGATTTTAGAACTTTTGTATGTTGCAGATGTAAAACTTGGAAAATAAGTTCGTCATAATAATGCTTTTATTTATTCACTATTCTAATAAACAATATGCATTCTCATATTGATAAATGAGGTCTAAATTATAAGAAAATGCATTTTCTACGAAAACTTGAAGGTATAGACAATTTAATTGTGCATCTGATTCTCCTAAAATATACAGGGCATTCCATCTAAATTAAAGAAGTTATTGCCGTTTGAAGCTAATAATTATTTAAAATCAAATTTTAGACACTCTGTATAAGGTAGTATAATTTTTATTATTGCAACACAATAACTGATCAATAAATAAACTTCAGTAAATATTTAGTATTAAAAACTTTGATACCCTTGGAGAAATGAAGCCTTAAAATTTTTAGTGCAATTTCACAAAATTGAAAATATTTCAAAAACGGTAAGGTTTAAGCATAATAAACCTTAATCAAATTTACCTTTATTTTAATCGTAGAAACTAAAAATGTAATAATATACAGGGTGTTCCGTTTAAAAAAATACAACTTTGATATTTTTTACTTATTTGGGACACTCTGTATCTTGTAAAATTATTTTTAAATTGTACCTCTAATAGTCCTTCATCGAACCCAAAACTTACAATTTGTAAAAAATCTCATCGTTTAGCTACAATACTCCGTGTCGTATGTGGTGAACAACCCTGTATACTATAGTGAGATAGTATCATCAAAATCAATAAAAGTTGGCGCCAAAATTATCATCGATTGTCATTCTCATCTGTCTTTGATGCGTTTTTTTTTCGATTATACGGTACTATCCTATGTAACTAAAAGGAGCTGTTCTAGTTGTATTTTTTTTTCATTACGTTAACTAAAGAAATAAATTGAAAAAAAGAGGAATACGTTTTCTAGATTTTTTTATTCCCCTTTTTATATCTCTGTCGCTCTCTTTTCTTCTTTATTTGTTCTTTCACGTAAGTGGCCAAAGCAAAAAAGGCTTTTAAAAAGTTTTGTAATTAAAGGAAGTCCGAGCCATGTCGGGAGACACGCCAGAAGTTCCAGAAAGTTTTGTTCAAGTTTCTGGAAGATGGAATCTTTTATATCTCTCTCTTTTGCACTTTTTTAAGTCCATTCAATCCTAAAATTAAAAAATAAAATACAAGAAAAAATCTAATTATTTTTTTTATTATAAAAATAAATCACAACTATCTTATACTAGTTGAAGCCTGGCGCATCCGCCACGACTTCAGGAAAAAAAATACTTTTTATTTTTTTTAATTAAATGAAAAACAAAAAATCCGGCGACGACAGTTTTTAGAAGAGCCAAAAAAAGCAACTTTCTAGAGCAAGTCGTTACTTTAGTAGAAACGACACACAGATAAACATCAGCATTTTATATACAGAGTGTCCCACTTAAGATGGATACAAGCCAATATCTTGGTTGTTTGTTGAGCGATCTTTTTCATTTTTGGCAGGAGGCTGTATGGCTATAAGACGTACATTTTGCCCAGGGTAAGGAATGCGATACCTCATAGACGTACGTTTTAATGGGGTTTGATATTTTTCGAGTCAAGAGTAAACTACCCTTAGGACAGTATTTATTTCAAATCTGATAAATTATATTGAATCCTCCTTACCTAAGATACTAAAGTTCTAATTTTGATAAATATTGATACAGGGTGCGTCATTAAAATAAGGCATTTTTATTATTATTTTTTAGGTACTTACGACGCCACTGGATAAACAACAGGTTTGTCAATAACCAGTTATAACCAATTATCAATTAATAATCGATTTCAGTTTTCAGATAGCTTCCATAATAATTAAGATACGATACAAAAAAAACTAAATATTTTCAATTTATTTTGTTTACTTTAAAAAAATTGTTTTTTAAGTTTGCTAAAATACAAATGAATAAAATAAGTTACAAAATAATTTAATCAATTTTTCAATGGAATCTGAAATATAATTTTTATTCGTTTTATTGAGGAATATTTAAAAAAATCCAAATAGTCAAATATTTAGAACAATCACTATTAACTTTGAGAAATATGCTCTAAACAAAGATTTATAAAACTAACGAACTAAAAGTCAACATCTTCGACCAAACCACCATAAAAAACGATTATTGGTGAGACGATTGATAATTGGTTATTGATAATAAACGAGTTGTTTATCCAGTGGCGTCGTAAGTACTTAAAAAATAATAATAAAAATAAAAATGTCTCATTTTAATGACACACCCTGTATCAATATTTATCAAAATTAAAACTTAAGTATCTTAGGTAAGGAGGATTCAATATAATTTATCAGATTTGAAATAAATACTGTCCTAAGGGTAGTTTACTCGACTCGAAAAATATCAAACCCCATTAAAACGTACGTCTATGAGGTATACAGCCTCCTGCCAAAAATGAAAAAGATCGCTCAACAAACAACCAAGTTATTGGCTTGTATCCATCTTAAGTGGGACACCCTGTATGTACATTAGATATAATAGAATACTGACTATTATAAAATAACTCATAAAAATGTTCAAAATCGAACTCCCAACTGTAATGAATTTAAATATCGTCGAGTTAGTGAGAGTAAGATCTCGTTGTGAAACAATGATGAGCAAAAAATCTCTGATTTAGATGTTCTTAATTATCTAGAAACTTCTAATGCACGTTCAGCCTGGGACACCCCGTATACTAATACAAACTTGTAATACATTATTCTCTTCTTATTGTTCTGTGTCTCTTAATCAATCTTCCTTCTCCATTCAGGCTTGATATAAACACGTGAAAACTTTAGAGCTTTTAAAGGCCCATCCTTCGTGACCTTGAATCGGCTCGTATCGCGTAAATATAACTGGCAGCCTTCTCCCACTTATATCCCCCACTCCCCCCCAGTTCCACGGCCCACTTTCTTTCACAAGAATAAGGAAGGTGGCTGCCGGGGATCTCCCCCCACGCGTCTTTTCAAAAAGGAAAACAAAAAAGATAAATGTTTATAAACAGAAGCGGCGCGGCGTTGCCTTGACGTGACGCAGGAAAACGGCAAGCGGCTACGTCATAAGGTAGCAGGAAAGCTCGCGGGCTGCCGTTGTTATAGGTAGAGGCTACCGCAGGCAGTTTCGTGCCTAGGAAAAAGCTGCGGGGCTTTACGATAACGCGCAGTTGCCGAGTCGTACGTTTTTTCATAAAATTTTACAATTTTTTCGTCATGTGTGGATATACAGGGTATGTCTTAATTCAGTGCAAGTATATTAAAGGATGGTAGTAGATTTGGACAAAAGAAATGTAGTTTCTATTTACCATTTTTAGATAATCTTAAGTGTCTATTACGCTGTACTGTTCGGGTCACCCTGTATATTATTAAATTTCTAGTTTCTACGATTAAAATAAAGGTAAATTTGATTAAGGTTTATTATATTTAAACCTTACCGTTTTTGAAATATTTTCAATTTTGTGAAATTGCAGTAAAAATTTTAAGGCTTCATTTCTCCAAGGGTATCAAAGTTTTTAATACTAAATATTTACTGAAGTTTATTTACTGATCAGTTATTGTGTTGCAATAATAAAATAATACTACCTTATACAGAGTGTCTAAAAATTTATTTTAAATAATTATTAGCTTCAAACGGCAATAACTTGTTTAATTTAAATGGAACACCCTCTATATTTTCGAGAATCAGATGCACAATTTAATTGTCTATCAAATTATATTATACCATTTTTTACCTATCTCTTTAAGTTTCCGTAGAAAATGCATTTTCTTGTAATTTACAACTTATTTATCAATATACCCATGGACTATTGACATTTTAGATTATTTTTAAAGATGTACCAAATTTTTAAAGAGCACAGATACTAATATTGTCGATATAATTTTCATTAAAAAATAAAAAAAACTGTTTAAATATTTGTTAAAGAGGATCAATTAATATGATTCCAGTATTCAAACTACATTAACTGACTGTTTGCGTTGATTAATAATAATTGCTCCAAATACTAAAAAACTGAATTATGTATGTGTATTAGACAGTGTGATAAAAAGTAACACCTTAAAAATGATATTTCATTTTTTAATAAATGTTTATTTATAACCACAGAGACTTTAATTTTGATAACTTATTATTATATTTATTTCTGACTCAAATCCACATTTATTTAGAATAATTTATTAACGAACACACAATTAAGTATGTAATTAATTAGTATATGGGCGGAAATAATGGTGTTATATTTAATTAATTGTATACTCTTTTATAAAGATTTAAATAGTTTTCTTTTTGCATACAAATGGGCTAGTAATATTATCGTTTTGCTAAAAACGATAATATTACTACTCTCGAAGAGGAATCGAGCAAAATATCAAGTATGCCATATTTTTGGAAAGTTAATTTTAAATTATTTTCAATGAATTAAAAATATACAGGGTGTCCCATAAAAAAATCAAATTTTCTGTTGATAATTTTTAAAGTGTTAATTTAAAAAAATTATACTTAAACTATTAAATTCTACGTAAAAAAGTGCTTTGGAAATGTTTTTACAAAAATACAAAATTTTGTATAGCAAAAAAGTTACAGCGATTTGTTAAAAATGCACGATTTTGAAAAACACCCCGTAACTCCGAAACGGTAACAGATATGGATGTGCGGTTTTCACCATCATGTTTTTGATAAAAATTCAGCTCCAGACACCGATATTAGTTTTCGTCTATGTCCTATAGAAAAGGGTGTTTCACTTTAAAAGCGTCCAATTTTACCCACCCTGTACAAGGGAAATCTAAATCAAACTTCTCAATATCCTCCCGTGAACCTGAAATTAACCTCGAATCGATACTCAATATGGCAGGAATTTAATTTACTCCCTATTCAGTAACTTCGTCGTGCTGATTGAACACTATTTGTTCCCATACCCCGATTTTCTAAAGCTTTCTGTCTTTGAATTAATTACAATAGTTTACGTGTATTAGGAAACGTCAAAAACAGTCGTGGGTTTTGGATAGTTTGTAGAAACCTATTTATCGTTTCATATTTTAAGTAGAAAACAGCTCCATTATTAAAAATAAAGATAAAGAAAGAAGGAATCAAAATAAACTCAACAACCTAGGAAATAAAACGCGATCCGGCAACGGTGTTGCGCTACGAAAAGCTCAGGACGATCCGCCGACAGACTCCGCACCGATAAAAGACGTACGTCCCCTTTGTTTTCGCAGCAGGACACCGTAGGCGTATGGCGAATCTTTGGCCGACACGCGCTCCCCAACGCATTTCCTGGTTAAGGCGAGGTCACGGTCGCGGCGTTGCCAGATCTGGAGTGCGTACGTTGAGCGCGGACCTCCTGCGAATTTCGGGGATGATGTCGCGGTAGGCTGGCTAGACGCAGTGGCGGCGTTTGTGACGCTGTTACACGGTTGCGTGTAGCAGGAATGGAGAAGAGCGTAGAAGATCAGCAGGTTTCGACTGATTTTAAGCGGTTTTTTATGTTTATCCGAAAAAAAGGAATTTAAGAAAATGTTTTTTAATTAAATATGCTATAATGTCATCATCTACAGGGTCTCCCAGGCTGAGTGCATTAGAAGGTCCTAGAGAACCACAGTATCTAGATCGGAGATTTTGTGCACATGATATTATTGTTTCACAACGAGATCTATCGATTAAAATATTTTAGCTTACTTTTTAGCTTTTTTAAAATTAAAAATTGATAGCTATTAAACACTAATTACCCAAACTACATGGTATATACATGGTGAGTCAAAACTAACTATGATTTTTTTCTGCAATTTGGAGAAATATACCTACTGGTTAAAAACTCGGCAATGGAAGGGCAACGCCGTCCCTGATCCATAGCGCCCTTTCTTAAACTCTAAATGAGTCACTATACAAAGGAAAATCAATAATTCGAAATCTCGCAGCTCAGAATCACGACTACGTCGACAGCGACAAAGCATTTTCGCCATGTGCGAGATCGTCTCTACCGTTTTATTATCATCCAGATTCTGACACTGATATCAATAAATATCAGTATTTTAGGGCTTTTTTATTGTTTCTCATGTAACCTTGTTAGTCCTTAGGTAAATTTGTTGTTACTTTAATAATTTTTTACCGGTAAAGAGTCAAAAGGTTTTTTTGATGGCATTCATAGTCAAAATTAGAAAAAAATCTTGTATGCACAATGTTGGGAAACATCCATTTTGTGTAACTCAAAACCCCATTTGTTACACAGAATAGTCTGTTTTCCAACTAGCTGATGAAAGAATGATCGGCTGGGGAATAACAGTTGATCATAATTTTGCGAGATCAATCTCTAGACCTCATTTCATAGCCACACCATTTTATAGAAATTATTAAGCTTTATTCATATATATATTAATCGGTTTAAAACGTTCTACGTCTTCCGATGCCATCTCTCCATGCCTGTCTGTCTCTCCATGCACCGTCTCCGAGAGATCTTTCCTCCATAAACGTGTCAATCCCTTCCTGCCAACTTCTTCTCGGTCTACCCGGTTTTCTTCTTCCTGCAGGTTTCCAGTTTATAACTTGCTTTGGGATTCTTATTTCTGCCATCTTTGGACATGCCCGTACCATATGAGTTGACTGTTCTTTATGTCGTCCACTATCGTATGTTTAACTTCCATAATCTCTCTTATGCGTTCATTAGTTATTCGCTCGAGTCTTGATTTGCCTGCTGATCTTCTACAAAAATCCATCTCTGTAGCTTCCAGCATTCGTTTTGTTGTTTCCTTAATTGGCCAGACTTCACAGCTGTACGTGTTTATACTCTTTATGATGGTATTGTATATTAGAGTTTTGTTCTTGTTGTTTATGCTTCTGTCCCACAGTATCCATTCAATACCGTGATAGCATTCTTTCCAAGTTTGTTTCGTTCTTTAATTGCTGTATCCAACAGTCCATCATTTGTGATTTGTGAGCTTTATTCATAAATTACTAATTCAATTATTTATTTAAATTAACATTAACATTAAATGAAAATGATTTTTTTTATAGATTCAGAAATTGTAAAACCTTGTATGCCTCCAGATGTCCAGATGCTATATTGCATAGTAACATAAAGGCACCCTGATAATTTATTAATATTATATAATATATATATTATATAATATTATATGATTTATATGTAAGATAACACACTAGTACCATAAATAACTAATTTGCCTGTAAATATAAAATTACTAATTTAATTTTTTCTTCTTTTTCAGATATTATTTTTGTAAAACCCTATAAAAGATATACCATATATAAGATGTACAAACGATAGCGATACTATTTTTATACTATACGAAAAACGAACAGTACAAATAGAACAAAGTACAAATAAAAACCATTCCAATCTCAGCGAACACATTCAGGACACACTCAGTACCACTCTTCAGAGCCATGACAATAAAGCCAAAGAAGATATTCCAATAAACATCATCAGTACCCAACCCTTCAAGAAAACGCACAATGACAGACAGTTAGCGAACCAAAAATAATGGTAGTACCATGAGCGAGACCTTGAGCCAGGACCCGGACGGTCTGGGAGCGGCCTACACCACGCTGGCACCGTCGTACCCGCCTACCCCGGCTACACCCAGCTCCACGGTACAGGATGTACCACCGGGAGCCAATCTACCTCCGTTTTCAACGTTTAACGCCGACATGGACTCGAACGGTACCTTTACTTCGGTTTCCGACCGGTTGTTTAGTGATACAAGACTTTTGGACATTTCCAATTGGGACTACTATACGGAAACTCGGTTGGTTGATCGCGGCGAGAACGGGTTGAGTATTATAACGTCTCAACCACAGTACCGGCCGTGGGAGTCGAAACCAATCGATTCCGGATCGTTTTCGAACTCGAGTGAAGCGTTTCCGACGCCTCAGAACGGTGCCTCAAAACTACCTTCGTTCCAAAGCCAGTTTCAGTCATTTAATGAACAAGTTACCGGGGGTGAGACCACCACACTCACTACACTCACAAACTTGACTCCAGTCTCACCAAACTCATCTTCTAGTCCTCAAAACCAGTCATTAACCACTTTAAATTCAAGTTTTCATACATTAAGTGCTGTAAATCCTCGTAGTTACCCTCTGGTCCCTGCTCCGATTCAAGCCAGGGAGATTCCATCAATCCAACAACAGTTCCTGGACGAACGACACATACAGTTATACTCACACCCCACTGCTAACCTTACACTGAACAACACCATACATTCCGCGAGTATTTTTCCAGCTCAGAACGGAGCTATCATCCAGAACAGCCAAATAATCTCATCCCCCACTGTAGTGACAGTTTTAAAATCCGATCCGGACATGAAGTTAACTTCCTTACACAATACGGATGCTGGGATTAAAATCCAGAACGTAGCCATCCATCCTGCGCAATTCCAGAACCCGATGCCTCCAATGGGCTCGGATAACGGTATCTACAATGGTCTGGATAAGAAAATTAACGGTTTAACCGATACAATGACCTCGCCGACTCGGAACGACTTTAGAAAGAAAGAAAGACGGAAAATCCGGGCTTCCAGCTTGGAAAGTTCAGCTGAGAGTGACGGGGCGTCCAGTAATATGGATCTGGGGTCCGAGAATTCTGGACAGGTTGCTGCTGTGTCAAGTACGGATGGGTTCAAGACGCAGCACGGGATGGCTGTTATGGAGCACGATATGAGTGGTGGAGTTCTGGATAAGCAGGTGAAGAAAAAAAGGAAGAGGTGTGGGGAATGTATCGGGTGCCAGAGGAAGGACAACTGTGGTGATTGTGCTCCGTGCAGGAACGATAAAAGTCATCAGATTTGTAAGCAGAGGAGATGCGAGAAGCTTACGGAGAAGAAGGTATGTCTTTAAGAATTTTTTAAAACTTTCTTTGTTTCTTATTTTATCGTAATTTTGGTGTTTTTACTATGAAATCCAATAAGTAATCAAAATCTTGTCCGTACTGAAATTATAAAACCCTTGATCCAAAAATTACTATTCTTTTTAATTAATCTTCTTAGATATATAGCTTTTACGATGTGTAGTAGCATATACAGGGTGGTTTGAATTATAGTCGACAAACTCGTCAACATGTTATGCAGATAAAAATAAGTAAAAAAGATCGTACAAATTTATGTCCTAAAATGCTTGGTTTCGGAGATACAGGGTGTAAAAGTGTCATTTCTATTTCGGGTTTTTCTAAATTATTTCTAACAGTTTCTGTTGAACCTTATGCCACGAATGGTTGTCGTCTCGGCGCACTCAGTGATGAGGCGTTCTGGTGTTTCCCCAATTTTTAGAACATCCTATATTTCTCAGTTAATATAGAAATAAAAAATTTTGACAAGAAAATATACATAAGGAAACAAAGAGAATTGTTTATTATTAATGCTAAAAAGCAGAACCAATCGCTGAATGAAACTGTATCTGATATATCGAAAAACTGGGCCTCCGTATACATATATCTATGTAATATATGTGTGTAAACGGGCAGCTGCACGTCTGGCACGTGACAAATATATACACACACACGCACACAAGAGAGAGAGATTTTCTTTATCTGTCCAATTGTTGTTTCATCTGCTCACCTTTTTGTTCCATTCAGAAACGCTGACGGTTCTGATCCGATAAAAACCGTATATTTTATTATCCGAATGCAATAAAATTTTCGGCAAAATATATTGAGATGTGAGAGATACATAATAATAAATTTCCGGATAAGGAGAAATATTTAAAAAGAAATCGGCGATAACTCGTAAACGAGCTAATCAAAAATATCTAAAGTTATTCTTTTGAATGTGGGTTTTAGTGCTCTTCAATAAATCTAAATAACATTATTCTCTATAATAATTAGGGAAGTCAATAATTGACCCCATTAAATTTTACATGGGATTTCCTATGTCCAGTCCGACGATGCAACACCCGGTATATCTACCTGTAGTACTGAGAGTCAACTGACACATAAGTCAACTCGTTTGATCAATATGTATATGTATCTATGATATGTATGTTTTCGGATTATCTTTACAAGAGCAAACACTTTTTTATCATTGACATTTTAAGAAAAAATTTGTAAATTTTCATACCATTTTAGAGAAAATTAAAAAAACATGAAATATGGTTGCATTTTTCCACCAGTCCAAAAAACAAAAAGCGCTTCTATGGTAATATACTTTCGATTTCATTTTTTGACGGATGGTTATTATTAATTTTTATTAATGTCATATTTTTTGTTGTTATTAAAGTACCACATTTTCCGATAATTATTATCTCCCTTTGTGTAGCATTGAACTAAATAAATTTTGATCTTCTGTAACATTTTAAAACGCCAAAAACGTAACGATAATTAAAATTTTTATAAATAAATATAAAAATTCAACCATATTTTCATTCTTTTTTTTTATTTTCTCTAAGAAGCAATGGAAATTTGGAAAAGTATAAACGGGATTAACCATTTTAACACAGGCAAAATTTTTATGAAGAATGCATTTTTCTCAAAATGTCTTGTAAAGACAATCCGGGGACATACTGTATATTACGTTAATTAAAAGTATAGCTGTTGGTTCATTTTAACACCCTGATACCGTACCAAAACCCCATAACCTAATTTCTGTCTCAATTTTTCGAAATTTCGTCTCTCCAAAATACATCGGTTCATTATAGAGAGACCATTGAACCCACCAGAACTTTTCAGGTCCCTGTCCTATCCATCGGGATACATGTTATATATACGCGCATTGGGCATATGCCATGGTGAAATAAAACATTCTCAAACCAGGTAGTACGTTTCGGCGTTCGAAAACGCAACAGCTGCACGGTCGTGAAGAACAAACCGAAGCCAGCTGTTCTGTTGGGCCACAGCGGACCTCCGGAAGGTTCAGGGCTAGCGTAGGTCGGTAGGGCATGGAAGAAATGGCTGGGCCGATGCCCTTATGCGCATAATAGCGAAAATATATTTAGAGAATATGTGCTGCTCGTCCGGGTAATACAATGGTCCGGTAATGATATCGTCGACTGGGAAAAATTGCGTTTAATGTGTGTTTTTTTAATCGAAATATGTTGAAATAAAAAAAACAAGGGCTGGTATGACTCACTGCAATTTATTTATTGAACCATGTCTGTAAATAATGGCTATACTTCTGTGGCGGGTTCGGTTCGTGAAAATATCTGTTTTTTGCCACTGGAAAAGAAATCTACAAAATGCGTTGAATCTTTGGTTGAATCCAAACGGAGACCAGATTGCCAATGAGCTTTTTACATAAAATTTAAAACGGTATGGAAATTTGTAAAATTTCCATACCGTTTAACCATCTTAGAAAGAATGCATTCTTCTCACAATGTCAATAATAAAAAAGATTTTTCTTGACTGGAAATTGTAACGAAAAAGGAATAAAAAATGATGTTGAATGAAGTTCGACTAGAAATTTAAATTAAAATACCTTCAGAGCTGATTCAAATCATTAATTCTTTTCATATTATGAGAATTTTCCAAGCCCAGTGCCCTTCAAGCTTGAACTTTGCACTTTTCATGTCTCAAGACAAGTTTTTAACGGCTCTTTCACAACTTTCTATGCGATCTACCTTTCCCAGCATCACAGGAGATTGAGATGAGAGAGCGCTGAAACCCTTTGATCTATTTTTTAAATCTAGAATCTTGCAAAACTAGTTTTCTCAATGCTGGTTCATTCAAGCCCAGTCTTCGTTTACTTTTCTCAAATCTATATGCCGCTCTTCATATTTAAATTTAATTTGAACCGTTTTTATTTTTTACTTTATCTGTTTTTACTAGTAGTGGGAACTACCGAATGAATACTATCGAAACATTCGATAGTTGCAATTCATTCGAATAATTCGATAGCTAGTAAGAAAACATTCATCGAAAACTATTCGAATAAAAATATCGAATAGATGCGTCATCTGCCTTGAAATATATTAATTCGGCAGCAAAAACCATTCATTTATAAAATTCATTCATTTGTAAAATTCATTTATTCGTCAGGATCGATTATAATAAAATATAAACTGGATTTTATTATAATCGATCCGGCGACGTAGGTTTCTTTCCTAGAAACCCGACAGCGGTCGGCGGTCGGTGGCAATGGTATGAAAAAAGCCGGCATCTTTGATTTTGAGTCAGATAAAGATAAGGACACATTATTTTTTTATTGAGGTGCTAGTATTTACACAGAAAATACATTATGAACGGCGCTGTTGCCGTATGTTCGTATTAGTTGGTATTAGCAAAGAATATTATTCTTTGGTATTATAATTAGTTAGGGATAGTATAACTATATATTTTGCATGTTTTTTATTAATATTCTGTTGTTATACTGCAATAATACTTTTTATTTTGGATATAGGACAATGATTTTTAATGTTTTTAAGCAAAACTGGTTTAATAAATAATAATAACAGTAATAATTTGTTATACCTATTAACACCAAAGTTTAAAATCATTTAATATAAACATTTTTTTAAGTAGTAGCAAAATATAAACAACAAATTAGAAGTCAAAATTATTTATATTAGATCCTATTTAAAAGTAATATAGTCTCTAAATTTTTTGGCAACGTTGGTTTATTAAATAATAATAATTACAGAACTAATTCGTTATATTAACAACAAATTTTAAAATCATGAAATATAAACATTTATTAATTTCCTAAGCATGCAGTGTAATAGAAGAAAAATATAAATAAAAAATTAGAAATCAAAATTATATATGTGTATTACTTTTTATTACTTTGTATTAGTATTTAAAAATAATATATGCTTTTACTGGCATTTACTTTAAAAAATAAATGAAATATTTCTCCGCAAAAATCTACATTAAGAGAATTAGCATAAACAAAATACAAATATCGTTAACTTTTTTTTTAAATTGGCACGTGTAAAACTTTAATCAATCAATTTAATTTTCTCATCCCAAAATTTGAGTTCGATAACCATTTACTTATAACCACATTACCACATTTCTTAAATATGATTATTAAGTTCAACTAATTCATATTACTAAAATATCTAAAATACAAATACATATGTATTTTTAAAATTAATTGTAAGTTCACCTCATCTCTCTTAAAAATTGTTACTTCTCAAAATTTTCCATTAAAAAAATAGACCATATACCGTATAAAATTAAATAATTGAAAGATCGGAAAATCACACAAATTTTCGGAAAAATTTTGACCACCTGCACACGTACACAATCGTCAATTAAAAAAAAACACTACTACTTTAGTATTTTAAATATTTTAATAAACGCAAAAATAGCACAGTATTTAGAAGGCAAGTTATAAAAATTTGGAAGAACTAATAATGCACTGACGCAGACAAAAATCAAACGAATACTAAATTTCATTTATCAAAGGCATTCGATAGTCGTGGCTTAACGATAACCATTTAGTCGCACGGCGAGGTTGTCACATATGCTTTAGTATACAAATGAATGAATGATTTTATTCGAATGAAACCATTCGATAGTTGAAATCATTCATTCAGTAACCATTCGATAGTCTAATTCATTCGATAGTTCCCATCGCTAGTTTTTACATTGGTGGTTGTAATTTTCAATAACGATATTACCTTAAGTTTATCCTCTTGAAAATTAATAAAAGGAATATTGCCGCAAAAAAGCGGCAACAAAATAGTGTATTTTTAATAATAAGAAATGTATATGCCTTTGATATAATTGTAAGAAACGTTGATATTGTAAGAAACGTCGATCTTAACATAAGTAGGAAGGCGTACCGACTTAAGATTAAACTTAAAATTCGATATTGTACTTCCTGTTGTGCGGAAAAACTATTAATTCATCGGAGGTATTCAAATAATCTCGAAAATCTCTGCGGGCCTAATAA